TGTTCACTATGTTCACCCCAGACTCAGTGTGGGAGAAGGTTTCACTTTCCCTTGTACAGATATTTATCCCTCTGATCCTCCAGAAACCATCAGCAAGATCCAAAGCTCGTGAGAACAACAAATATCTGATCTCAAGGCTTCAGAAATGGGATACCGGAAACATAGAGGAACTCTTAAACGAATGTAAAGTGATACAGAGCCGCCTTCAGAAGATAAACGTCACTAAAGAGTTCAATGAAAAGAAAGCTTTCTGCCGGAGAATGCTTCAGGGTAAAGTAAAGGAAGCCACACGACTAATAGACAATGAGAAGAGAACTGGGATTCTTCCTATAGATGACGACACAATCAGACAGCTGCGGGACAAACACCCACCTGCAACAAAGCGTAAGGGGCCAGAAAAACTGCCAACAATCGATATCCAACCTGTATTGTTTGAAGAAATCGATGGTGAAGCTATAAAAGCTGCAGCCAAGAACACCCATGGTTCAGGAGGCCCTACCCTCATAGATGCTGATGGTTGGAAACATATATTATGCTCAAAGAGCTATGGAAAATCCAATGATATCCTAGCTCATGCCATAGCCGATGTCACCAAAAGATTATGCACAGAAACTATCGATCCATCCATACTCAGAGACCTTCTTGCAAGTAGATTGATTCCTTTGGACAAGCGACCAGGAGTCAGACCCATCGGAATCGGTGAAGTTTTGCGACGTATCATGACAAAAACCGTAACAAAAACCATCAAAGAACACATAAAGGAAGCAAGTGGGTCTCTTCAAACCTGTAGTGGCATTGAGTCAGGCATAGAGGCTGCAGTTCACTCAATGGCCGAGAACTTTGCCAACGACAACAGCCAAGGCCTTCTCCTAGTTGATGCATCAAATGCATTCAATAGTTTACACCGAGAGCAGGCCCTTGATACTGTTGCAACAACTTGCCCTGTGTTTCACCAATTCCTTAAAAACACCTATCAAACAAGGACAAAACTCTACATTTCGGGGTCAAAGTCAGGGGAGTTCATCTGGGGCGAAGAAGGAAACACTCAAGGAGACGTTGCAGCAATGCAATTTTACTCCATAGCCACTAGACCTATAATAGATGATCTCAGAGCTTATGCAGAAGCAACCATGGTGTGGTACGCCGATGACAGCTCTGCATGTGGAAGCCTCATCCAACTTCTTCAGTGGTGGAATAGACTTTGTGACATCGGTCCGGGATATGGGTATTATCCCAACGCTAAAAAGACCATTCTAATTGTCAAGAATCCTAAAGACCAGGCTGTAGCAGAGACACTATTTGGGCATCTTGGAGTTAAGATCACGACATCTGGAGAACGTCACCTTGGTGCAGTGGTAGGATCAAAGAAATACAGGGAAGATTACATCAAAGAAAAAGTTGAGAAATGGATAACAGATATTGAACAACTTGCTGATATCGCTTCTGAAGAACCACAGCTGGCTTATTCAGCCTTCACCAAAGGAATATGCCACCGATGGAGGTTCTTCATGAGAACAATACCTGACATTGCAGAGTACTTTGCCCCACTGGAGAGCAAGATCATGCATGTGCTCATTCCAGCCCTCCTCGGTCGTCCAGTCAACCAGCACGAGAGAGATATCCTCGAACTTCCTGTTCGTTGTGGCGGGCTAGGCATCATCAATCCTGTCAGAATAACATCCCGTGAATATGCTTACTCAGTAGCGGTAACTAAAGACCACGTGAGTTTGATCAACCAACAAGACCCGGATATCACCAAGCTGGACATGGGCAAGATAAAAGAAAAGAAAGAAGAACTGAGGAAACAGAAAGAGGAGTTTCTCTCTCAAAGGTTCAAGGTGCTCCACAAAGAATCAGATCATCAACTAAAGAACCACTTAGACCAAGCAAGAGAGAAGGGAGCCTCAACATGGCTTTCGACACTACCACTGAAAGACCTCAACTATGTTCTGAACAGGCAGGAGTTCCAAGACAGCATACGCTTAAGGTATGGTTGGAAGATCCAAGGAGTGCCCTCTAAATGTGCTTGTGGAAATGTTAACAGTATCTACCACGCCCTTGACTGTAAACTAGGCGGATACGTTAGCATGCGCCACAACGCTATTAGAGATACTGCTGCTTTCTTCCTCCGAGAAGCAAAGTGTAAAGATGTAAGGATAGAACCAGCACTCCTGACAGTCCAACCAAGCTCCTTCTCAAGAAAGACCAACACCCAGGATGAAGCCCGTCTTGATGTTGCAGCTGTCGGATTGTATGCACCCTTTGAAAGAACATTCTTTGACATTAGGGTCACACATCCTAACTGTGACACAAACACATTTAAGACGCTAGATAAGATCTATAAAGATCACGAGAAAGAAAAGAAAGATTTGTATGAAGAGAGAGTACTTCAGTCAGAGAAAGGATCCTTTGTCCCTCTAGTCTTCACAACCTCTGGAGGTATGGGACCCCTATGCACTGTATTTGTAGATCGTGTCTCTGAGATGATAGCTGACCATAAAAAAGAAGCCAAGAGCCAAGTCAAAAATCATATCAGAACACGATTCAGATTTGATCTGTTAAGAAGTACACTCATTGCACTAAGAGGAATCAGAGGAAGATCAACGGCCCAGCATCTTGAACTGCATGACATCTCCTTCAACCTCATCCCCCAGAAGACGAGCTTTGAGGTCTCCTAGATTTTTTTAATGTAAATTTTGATATTTTACTGTACTATTTTATGTTGTATATAATTTTACGGACGAAATGATCCCAGGGGGGACTCCCAACCCACCGCTTCGGCGGGTAGTTGACGCACCTTTCACAAGCAAGAGCCACTTTGGTCTACTTGCTGTGAGGTGTCTCAGCTACATGGGTTGGGGGTCCCCCCTTTTTTTTTTTTTTTTTTTTTTTTTTTTTTTTTTTATATAGTAGTGTTGAAAGTATTAATATAAAATATGTATTGATTGATTAAATTAGATTAGATTAGATTAAGAATAATGACATAAACATCATCACTAGTTTTAAACATTCTTTCTGATTTCCTCATTATCACAACTGTGAACATTTCACAGCCTTCGTCATTAAAAAAATAATGAATAATTGGTAATAAATTTAACTTTTGTTTTACTTTTATTAAGCTCATATCCAAATAAGCTGATTAAGCTGATTGCCACAAGATACCACAAGAGACTCGCTGAAAAACTATCCCAGAAGAGAGGAGAAGACTATGCGGCTATTATGTGTTACATGCGCACCAGGATTAGATTCTCAATCCTCAGGAGCACCCTGATAGCGGTCAGGGGTGAGAGAGGGAGACGGCAATCGTATACATTGCCAGTCAGTGTAACTTCGTTTAACTTGATACCTGCCACCATGGACTATGAATGTTTCTAGACACTATCCTTTTGATATTGAGATATTGGTATTTCAGATCACGTGTACATCGTTCCTTTTTTTACGACACAGTAATTTATTGACACTCACAGCTATAATTTTAATAATTGAATCAGTATTTTTATCTGTGATCTGCGAATGCATCACATGAATCAGTTTTTTAATCTATTAACTTATTACACATTTGTGCTCTGCTTTAGCATCACTTGACTATTTAAAAAAAATTGTTTGTTCAGGCCATGACCTTATAGTCAGCCAATTGGCCATTGCTATATTATGTGTATATTGTTTGAATATTCTTTTAATAAGCTGATTATTTTTATCATACTAGAAGACATTTGGGAATATTTCTTGGATTGGTTGGCACTTGGGAACGGGAGAGTCAAAACCACTAATATTTCCTTCAAATTTCACTGTATTGTGACAGTATTTTCATTAATACATATCCTCAATGGCCACTCTGATACTTGGCTTTCCTGGCTTAGGTTTTTGTCTTCGCCGGTAGCTTCTCGAATCAACGTTACCGTTTTAGACTGGATATAATTGTATAAAGTTAGCTGATTATTGCAATAAACAAGATTTAGCATTAAATATCACGACAGCCTATTCATACTATTCATGCAGAGTTGGTGAAAAAATTTGGCCGAAGTCAAACTACCAGGCAAAACTTTCCCATTTTGACTCTCTCTATCCGACTTAAAAGCTCCAAAAGTTATCCATTCTGTGCAGCTCCCAGAGCTGATTTGATACATATTTAGTTGATTGATTATAATTATTGATTGGTATTTGATAAGTTTCCAATTGTGTATTTCCAGCAATTTCTTTTTATAACTAGTAAAGGTAATAATTTATTTTCAGGAAGCTATGTCAAACTTACGAAGTACTGAGTCACTTGACAGATCATCACCAGAGCTCTGGTCAGACTGTGGTCCACCCTTACCTTTACACAACTCAACTATAAGTTCATGGGAAGCTGATATCGATAGAGAGGATATTGACATGCTGCAGGAATTGGCAAGTTTGACCTCAGGCCAGTTAAAAGAGAAAATTGACACTCTTTTGAAAATGAGCTATCAGCTTGGTGTACAAGAAACATATGAAATGACCAGGGGAAAATTTCTAAATGTGTTGCCAAAAGAACTTTGATCATTATAAAGCTATCTGACTAAAAGTAAGTCAGAATTGTCTAAAATGTGTTTCAGAATTTGATCTTGAGTGAGAAAAGCAGTGGCAGTTCATTGAATAGGGAAAATGATAACATTATTGTTAATGCTGCGTGTTAAATATTATGAAGCATTTAACATAATCACTAATTGACCCTGGAGATGGATAATGGGAATTCAATTTTTGGTTTTATACATTGGAGTGTGATTTGACTGATTTCTGCTTAATATTGCAAACTCTAAACCAGCGATCCCTTCTTTCTGAAGAGAATGTTTGCATTTAAAGATCATCTTAATTGTATAATACGCAATACCAAAGTAAGTGTAACATTTCATCTAAATAAGTCGTTTAATTGCTTTTCACTCAAAAAGTTGTTCATTTTTCTAATGAATGTCAGAACATAAAGTTTTCAAAAATATTCTAAACTTTCTTATTTGAAATCATTTTAGAGCAATTTTTACTGTAATCTAGCTAAAGTCACCCAGGCAGAATCAGAAAAATGTAATGCAAATCAATGTGATTCACAGAAGCAGGTTTATCTATGTGGTACTGTGTGTAACCTTGGGATGGTCAGGAGCTCACCATTTTTACTTAAAACGCAATTTATTCGGAGTTATATATCTTCTATCCTTTGGGCTGTTTGGCATAGGTTGGCTTTATGATCTATTTAGGATAAACAGTCTCCTTCTTGATTATGAGCTCAACTTCAGAGGGTAAGCTGATGTTATTGCATTGTTAACTTACTGATTAATTCAAATAACGTTTGGTATTATGTTTTGTATATTTACTTTTGGTATTCATAATTAGACTGGCATGCCTATTATAAGTGTCCAATCAAGACTAAGAGGGATATGTATCTGATTCAAGTTGACCATAGAACGATATCTTCAGCTCAATCATATTACGATCTGTCACTTCAGGCAGGCCTTACTCAGACATGATGACATGAAGCTGCTGACTTGGTGTTTAGGATTCACTGGTCTACAACATTTCATATTGAAGCGTTATGCTTGTGGTTTTTACTTTTTATTTACCTTCGGTGGACTGGGAGTTGGCTGGCTAATGGACTTGTTCAGGATACACCTTCTAACAGAGAGTTACAACCTAAAGGTCGGTAAAGTTTAGATTTGTATTTGTTTAAAGAACTAAACTCCTTCAGAGTTTGTATCCAGTTATTATGTCAGCATCATTGACAGCACGATCAAAGCCTTTCCCACTGATCTTATATATTTCAGGGATATCAAAGGATGTCACGCATCACTGACCATCAGCTTACTGATGCGTACATATACTGCCTACCCTTTGGGTTCCTAGGGCTTCACCACTTCTACTTATCACGTCCAAAGTGGGGCATATTCTACCTAATGACACTGGGAAATTTTGGTGTAGGTTGGATCACAGATATTTTTAGACTAAAAGGTCTAGTTCAAAACAGTAATGAACGCCCTAAATGGTCGCTGATTGATGCTTTTGTACTTTGGTTTCCATTGGGATTCTTTGGGGCCCATTGGTGGTACCTGAATCAGAGACCCCGTGCTATTGCATATGCCTTTACTTTGGGGTGAGATTTAACTTCTTATATCATGTATTATAGTTTAACAGTTTCATTCCACAATTTTTCGGTTGTTTCATCTAATTTTTCTTTGACATTTATTTCAAATTCTAACTTTTTTATCCCGTTTTTTACACCTCGGTTTTCAGCTATCTCGGAATTGGCTGGCTGATCGACATCAGAAGAATTCCTGTTCATGTGCGCTCGCTCAACAGAAAGTGCATGTTAGCTGGGATAATTCATGCTGAAGATGCGGAATCTCTTCAAGTAAGATAATTTTTAAAGACCGATCTATCTAAGTTTCAATCAGTTTCGAGCTGTATAATAATAAACTGGAGATGACACAGATTATCTTATGCTGCACATTATTGCACACAGTTATTTCTATAGTAAAAATAACGTGCTTTTCAGTGGGACGATAGTGACTTCAGCTCTGTGTTACTGCCTAATGATGGAGGAGGTTTGCTCAAAGTGTCTAAGAACAAAGTCCACTTGTCTCGGATGACCTCGCGTACTGTTTGCTTGGAGTGCAGCGCGCCAGGAGTCTGTGTAATGCCATGTACTCACTTCTCGCTGTGTGTAGACTGTGTCCAGTCCAGTGAGCACTGCCCCCGCTGTATTACTCCAATCAATGGTTGGGCCACTGTTGATATCTGATTTGAAGACGTTCATTATTTTGGAATGGGAAGGTTTTTTATTTGTGGTTTTGCTTGTTTTTTATGTTTGGGGTGAAAAAAGGTGCGGCTGCATGAATGTGTTATTTAAATGTAAAGTGTGGAGTTGATATTTTGTGTACTAAGAGTTTTTATTTGTTTATTGTTTCCTGTAAAACCATTTTGCATTATTGTATTATTGTAGCAGCTGTAGAAGTGAATGTATACAAGTTTATAAATTTTCCCTTTTTTTTAATGTTGTCAGAAATGGCTCATTTATCATACGTTTACCACGTTGTAGCCACGTCAATCTCATGCTGCAGTACGCCTGATCTCAGAGATCAAAAAAGGTATAATGTTCAATGTTCGTAAAGATTATAGAATTAAGAATTTTAGAATAAGGCCACAGCAAAAATATTAGCGGCACTAATATTTTGTAGAGAATTTCTCAAAAAATCAGAGTCAGAAGATAAGTGCACCAAAACTTTGGTATTTACATACTTTGGTTGCATGTCAAATTAGTTCTATTTTGCGAAATTTTGATTATTTTTTGAAATTATTTTTTTAGCAGATAAAATTCAGCCGATATGGTTTACGGGGCCTCGAATAATTTGAAACTCTAAAAATGCTGTTATCTCAAGGCCATATTTTCAGAATCATTAAAACCCGTTACATTGATAAGGTATTAGTGGCTATGTTCTGTCAGCTGTACCACTATTCGTGTAAAATAATATGGCCTAGGCCCTTTACTGTTGGTTTACCGTCTAGACAATTAATTAAACCCGTCCCTTTCCTTGGACATTTGGCCGCATAAAGTAATCGTATGTCTCTTAAAGAGTGTTGGTATGCTTAACATAATATAATAATTCCTTTCTATACCCATTTCTACATAGTATGCATAATATTTTTGGTATTAAATTTGTTTAAATGTGTCGTTTTGTTTTGGTTTTATATATAACTAGTGTAACCCGGCCTACGGCCGGGATTTCACTGCCGCAGTTAAAAAGGGTAGGAGTAATTACCCGCTGAGTCAAAACCCGGATTAGGCGAGCAATGCTATTCGGAGTGCCCTCACGTATCCAATAGTATGCTTAAAAGATAGTAATTCTTAATCAATAATCAATAGAAATTAACCCTTAACACCATGCACCACACCAGCCTATCATATTTGTGAACATGCATTACATTGTCGTATGAAAGTATGAACTCTCTCTACAGTCCAAACAGACCGTTTGAGCACTCCCTCCCCTAATAAGTTTATAGTATTATATGACCATGTAATATATACGCCATGTAATATATACGCTACATATGCAGAGAGAGAGAGAGCTAGCCCCGTAACTCTTGCCGTTCTTCTCAAGCCATTTTATGTAACATATTTTGTGGTACAAAACCATCAATTAAACCACTTACCACCGGCCGATTTTTATAAAATTTGCTTATTGGCTTCGTCAGAGTTTTGTCGGCACTATACCGAAAAAACCAGTCCCGTAACTATTACCGTTTTTTTTGTATAACCGTTCGGAAATTACACACAGACACACACACAGACACACACACAGACACACACACATTCTGGTGTTATTAAGTTGATTGTATGTGGGTTGAGGGGTCCCAACTATGGTTGCAACTTACGAATTGCGCTTTTCGACCGTTAGTGATATTTTCATTTTAATACCTGTAAGTGTAACCCGTATTAATTGTAAGATTTTGTTCGCATATAATATATGCTACGTATTAATTATTATATGAAGCTATTTACGGCCGTGCAACAAATCATTGTCTCGCATTGAATCTATAGCGTTATTTCTATCCGATAATATTTACAATTTCTCAGAATTACTTGTTGGTTCCTAGAAATTTGATCAAATCTTGACATTTCCGTCAAATTTAGGTATTTTAAAGTAGCCAAATAAGCATGTGTTTATGGTTTCATGGAAAAATCTATCAAATGATAAAATGATGACTTTGACAGTCGACACTATATTCTATGCTATAGCTGCGCTTTGATATTTCTTTCCCATTCAAATATCAGACATGAGACATTCCCAATCCTCTCTAAGTTTGTTAGGAACCCAATCTAATTGCTGCTGGTTTTGTCCTTAAAAGTCGTATGTTTGAGGAAGTGGTTTAATTTCTGAGTCACGGCTTAATGATAAACCCGCGCTAATATTTATTACTAATTTTTCGAGAAATATACCGCTAAATTATTGTCAATGTTGCGTTTTGTGATTATAATTAAATTGTGTTTTGGTTTAATAAAATTGTTGATTGTACTATAACTATGTTTTGATTTTTTCATTGATGTTGGTAAAAGAACAATTATTGATTTAAAACGTCTATCAAATAGTAATTTAGACCTATGAATCCAAAATTATGTTCAGCGATTTTCAAAACACTATTATCAGATGACTCATTGGCTTTGGTAGATTCAAATCAGTTCCAATAAAAGTTATACGAGCAATGGATCATATAATTTGTCCATGATATAAAATAAAACTAAACTGGAATAATATTTTACAGCCCGATGGTCCAAAGTTTAGTTCAGAAACGAGTCCAGCATCTGATTGAAGGAGGTTTGAAAGTCCTTGCACTTGATTTCGACCTTACAATATGCTCAATTCATACGAGAGGGGTTTACATGGGCACAGAAGAGGACTTAAAGAGGTTTGTTTTATTGATTTTCATTTTGCTCGATAAAAAGTAATTTAGATGTTTTCATTGCGATGTCACTTAGTAATATAATTATACTTATTTGTGCTCACTTATTTGACTGATAATATTGATTCCAGGCGAATGACTTATTATTTTACAGTTTGCTGCATCCTGACATGATTGAGCTAATACAGGCTGCATCACCACGTCTCCAAGTTGCTGTTACCACTTTCTCAAGACAAACTCAACTTATTAGTAATCTTATGAAGCGGATATCTCCTAAAAACACTATTATTGTTCGGGGCGACTTCAGCTGTGAGACTAATAACAAAGGTTTTTGTTAACATTTTATTCCTCCTAATTAATATTAGTGGAGCACTTTTGTCTTTGTAAATTTATAAGAAGCGCATAAACAGCTCATATATAAAAGATAGATCAACTCATTTGTCTGTTTTGTCGCTATGTGTGTGATAGATCAACTCATTTGTATGTTTTGTGACTATATTGTGTGAATGGTCCAAAAGTGCAGATCTGCAATGACACAGCCTGGAAATACACTTTTAAGGCCCCTGTTCTAGCCGGCACCAGTCCCCGTGTCTTACTTGTGTCCCAGTCGTGTCCCAATACTCACTATTATCAGAAGTAATGGAAAGTTCAATGGCTATGATATTTCAAATCAAACTTTTGCGCAACCGGGATATATTATTCTTAAAACAAGAACCCCCTCCATTTCTTGTACGTTACGCAACACCACTCTTATAATGGATCAGACATCAAACAGTGCAGAATCAACAGAAACACTTCATCAACCCACTAATCTGACAGCTTGACTCAGACATCACTCAATCATAATATATAATCAACTCTTCACCCCATCATCCCTAATTGAAAATAAGATTTAATCACAGAACCTCACATCAGTTCTTAAGACAAGTTCCTGAGAACTCAGGCTCTATCACATCTCACAAATCATTGGCTCCTATACGGTGACAATAAGAGATTGTCTCTTCACCACGCTATATACTTAGTTCAGGAATTGTAGATCTATAATTGCAACAATTGTAACGATAACTACTTCACAGCAATTATAAACGAAGGTAAACAAACCCACCTTCACTCGGTACTAGAAGAGTTGGATGAGAGGGTTGGAGAGAGGTACCAGCTAGATCAGATACTACTTGTAGACGATCAGGGAGATAATGTCCGTACTGCCGTCAATAATGGTTCGTTATGCTACTTTTATTATCAATAAGTTCACGATAAATATGAATGTTTCGGATTTGGATTAATTTTCACTTGTTTCAAAAATGTTATAAATGATTTCGATGTTCTCACCATCTCTAAGCTTGTTTAGTGTAAATGAGAGTCGTAAGTATGGCATAGATTTGATCGGAATGTATTAGATACTTCATTAAGTTTAATTCGCATATTATTTCAGGCAGTTATGGGCTTGTGTTTCACGGACCGGACTGCTTATCTGCTTTTGACAACCCCTTACCAAGTCGACCAAAGTTGCTGACATGCGAATGTCACGACATCTGATCAAACTTTCTGGACACCCTTCAATCACTCTTTCTTTAGTTGAAGAACACAGCTCTAAAGTTCCAGCCAAACGTGAGCTCCCGGAGTTATAGATGAGAATAATTGGATGAGTTCATTCCTTGGTCCGCGCCCCCTTGGACACTATTATATTTGTACTATTATATTTCTTATAGAGATTATTGATTTGTAGATAAGTAGACCATTATTATCCTAATACAAAAATCTCTTGACAATCGACAGCCTCTGCAGTCTGTAACTTATTTCTTGCAGAGTGAACAGTGGAATGGACTTCATTTCACTTATAACTAACCGTACATTTCGTTGCATCTAACTGTTCCCGATACATCTAAAAACATTTTGCTAGTCTAAGCTGTACTCTGGTTGAACGTTAACTAAATACCATTTGTTTTTCCAGTTTTCTATTAAAAGCTCTTGCTGAGACCTCCAATGGCCCGCTGTATAGTTAAATTATAGTTTTCAATTGAAGAGTCTGCCCTTTTACTGACGTTATTTGTTAGATTAAGTTATTTGCTTTGAAATAAATTTAGTGAATTACAAAAAGGCAATTTGTTGGGTTTGAGCGTCAACAAAACAAAAAACTATATTAATAATTAATAAAAGACGCAAAAACCGTTTTAGTTTTTTCTCCTGAACTGGAAATTCTACCTGCATGATTTTGTATATAAAATATACCTTAAATTGAAGTTCCCGAAAACTTAATACCGAACTTAGCTTAAGTAAGTCTTTGAAGAACAATCCTTCAATACAATTATAGTTATTGGAATACTGTTGGCAGTTATTTGGAAACTTAAACTCATTGTCTGATGTATTAGATACAATTGAGTAACGACTTATTGTGATTCAATGGTTTTTATCAATCATACAATAATTCTTTTAAATGTCTCCAATAATTCTCTTTCCTTTCGAAACGACAACAGGCTCTCCGCGTTAAAGTGCTGCGGTATATTTGGTTTATTTATTACACGTGTTACTGATGTCTAACAAGATTTATTTCATAATTTATGTTTAACTGTTGTGTACAAGCCACATCTTTAATTGTGTATTAATTTATTGGAGGGTTTTAAGAACTTTTGTTTGAGCGTTTAGATGAAGGTGACTGTTTTTGTCCTGGTTCACTCGAGGAGTGTTGTTTGTTGGGCAGCCGTCATATATTGCGGATCTTACGGTTCTACGTTTTTTTGTTTTGAAAATGTTTTGTTCAATTCAGTCTTTAAATTATCATAATTCAATTTAGTGCCGTTTCACTGTTACACGATCAATCAAAATTCTGTTTGATCTTAAAGTCTTGAAGTTTAAAAGTATGGGTGTATGAAAACTTGCATAAAAATTACACAGACCTGTTTTGCCATTAATTTATAAAAAATTCCACTCTCAAGAATTTCACAGCAGGATGGGTAGAAAAAAGAAGCCGTTTATAGACAAGAAGCACTCTACGACTACAAGCTAGTACACAGGTCGCAACATGACCCGCTTGTCGCCGACCAGGATGCCAGTCAGATGGTCCTTGCTGAGATACCAGGTATGTTGAAGTGTCCGGGACAATATTTTCCTATTCATTTCCTGGAGACTTGAACCGATGTTATTCACCCAGGAAAAGTGCAGAGAGAAATCCTGATGAATGGAATGTTATTTTTCCTTGGTTAAAATTTCCTGGTCCAAAAACTTTAACGTGTCTAAATTATTTGTTGCGTCGTAGAGCGTGGACGGTCACTAAGTTTGATAGCGAAGTCGTACACGGACGTAACACTGATTGAAAGCTAAATTTCTGGAAATCCTATCAAAATTAAAAATGATATAGACTTCCGTTTTAATAATATCAAACAGAATTAAAAGTTGGACATTATTATTGAACAATGAACATTAAACATTACCTTGCCTCAGCTTTTCCTCATTACTATATCATCACTATCAGTAGACAAGTTCGGGACCTTTCACAGAATTACAGACATTAGATGGCTTGGAGGAATAGTTCCTGGGCATACCTATAATTCTCGGGAATGTTGGTCGGCGTAGCTAACTAATAGTTTGAGTAATAGCAAAATTCGGCCTATAAAGTTTTAGTTTCCGGAATATTTAAATTCATGGCTGGATTTGGGAATACTTTGTTTTGCCACATATAATTTGTAGAATTTATAGATTACATGCTAAACATCACGACTTCTCCCATGTTTCTACCACGTGTTCACCAGGAGTTGGTGATGAGCCAAGTAGCGCCCCACGTGTGAGTGCCTCTGCGCGCCGGAAAACACAGCAAGAATTTGGAATCTACTACGAGGATGACTACGACTACATGCAGCATGTTAAGGAGAGGGAAGAGGGAGGCACCGTATGGGAGGCAGTTAATCCTACACGACCAGGTAAATAGATATTGGAATATTGCCAATAACAGAAAGGGTTACAGTTAAGATTTAATAGCTTCATTACTTCTGTCTCTATCTCGTAATATAGAGTATATATAATACACTATTTACTATTTAGTCGGGTTGCAATTAGATATAATTAGAAGGGAGTCTACCCACAACGTAGTGGCACTTTTATATTTGAAAGAACTTCGAGTGTGTCATCTATCTAAATATAGCCCCCCTTACAACTCACACGAACTCTGCCAGGTCAAGTAGTGCTGCCAACATGTGTGCTGCCCTCTGCTACTGAGGAACCTGTTGGAATGCTGAACCTAGCTGCCCCTCGTGGTCTAGACCTGTCTCTTGACCCTGATATTGTGGCGGCCCTTGACGACGACTTTGACTTTGAGAATCCAGAGCTGGAACTTGAGGACGATTTCATTGGAATGGTAAGTTGCTTCGCGCGTGCTCCTCTTAACTAAACTTTATGAAGGATTATACAGCATTATGAGGCATTACTAACTATTTAATTTAATATTATTAAATATTTACTAGTTATATTCAAACCATCTTATATTTGATCCTTCGAACAGCTGTTGAGCAATGAAACGCAAACATAATCTTAGCAAAATGAATATATTTCTTTTATCTTCAGCATTTAATCAGTCACATAATCTCAAATTATTTGTTATATAGTAGTGTTGAAAGTATTAAAACTATTCAAACCATTGCTCAGTAATGCATCTCTGAAGAATCTTAATATCGCATATTAATACTGTCAACACTGCTGTACACAATGTATATTATACAACAAATAATTTGAGCTCACTATGCAATCAGGGTGACAAGCTTGATACTGGCTAGAGGGTTTTGTAGTCCCCCAGTGCAGCATAGCAAACCTGTGCTTCATTTGTTAATATCTAAGAAATCCTATATTTATCTCTAATGCAGTCTCATGAGTACTTGCTCTCTTCGACTTAACATTATAAGTTATTGACTACCATTATCTCTCGGATAATGTAATATATTTATTTCTGTACCTTATCTTGATACTTTTGTAATAGTCCCAATAATATTTCTCTTAGGAATAATGATATACATAGCAATATTACAATATATATATATCACTAATGCAGTTTTTGCTCAAGTTGTATCTAAATTTAGCTCGACCAGGAACTGGCAATACTCCTTTATAAATAAAAGACAACAAGATAACAACCACTTTATTGTTTCAGGCTGAGGGAGCAATATTAGAGGAGTACGGAGCTGAAGAGGGTGCGGGGCACTCTGGAGGTTATATTGGTAGTGATAACGAGCAGTATGGAAGTGAGGATGAAGATGATGTGAACAGTCTCTTCTCCGGTGGAGCTCTTTCAGATGATCAGACTTGTAGGTTTACAGAGTACAGTGTCTCCTCTTCTGTCTTGCCTAGAAATGAGGGCCTCACCATGCTGGATAACCGGTTTGAGGAGGTGAGTTTTAAATCTTCGATTTTTGAAATAGTTAACGATTTTGTGAGAGTATTTTATATGGGAAAAGGAGTTGCAACTCCTGAGTCCAATTTGTAAATGGGGAGGGGAAGGATCAAAGGAGTGGTCAAGGTTATCTGTTATGTTCGGTATCTTTGAGATGAGTATCGTCTTTCGTTAAAATGGAAATTTCGTAATTTTGATGGAGCGACAAATGATCAACTTTTTAACTGCTCTATTTTTCTTGGCCCGTGGACCTCAAAATCATTTAGGATAAAGACTCTCGAGTAAATACTAAGAATGATTATATTTATAGGGATTCTGGGTATAACTTTTTCTAAATATTCGCATAATATTCGTATAATATTACTAAGTCGGTACACTATACACACTGTATATTTAATAGTTCAGAACGCAACTCTGGGAGGGGGGAGGGGGCGCCCGGGCGGGGAAACTCTTTTCTGCTCATTTAAACGATAAAACGCAACCATTACAGGACCAGGTCTCTAGATCAACACTAATTTGCAATCCACCATTCTTTGCGTCTCATACGGTGACGATAGTGCCACCAGTCCATCATAATATGCTGTTTAACTAATATATTATATATTGTTAGTCAGCCACAACTGTCAGTAAAACAACGCCTTGACTTCAAATGTCGGTAAAATATACCTTTACAGTCATCCTCAAATTATTTGTTATATAGTAGTGACTTGAAAGTATTAAAACTTTATATATATATATTATATAACTATAAGCTAATATAACTATAAGCTTTTAAAAGATCTTGGTTCCAATATAATGGTTAAATAACGCTCATACCTACCTAGTACCTCTCCGTCAATGCAGTCTGTATGCAACTATACCTTTATACCTGCTGAGGATACCACCTTTCAGGGACCTACTCTCACTTTGATCTCGCACAAAAGCTACCAGATGGATCAATGAGTCTCCAAAGGTCACCTGCATAAATCAGAGAACTGTGTATAATATAAATGTGTATTATGTGTGAGAGGGATTACTAGGGCTCGACTGGAGGCAACGTTTAAACGCAATTACATAACCAATTGTTAAAAATGCATGCACTCTGTGAAATTTGCCACTTTATTATAAAAGTTGATCTATCTATACCAATAATCTAGTTCTAGTGAGAATGTTGCAGGTTTGTGAAGACTGAACAGAAAGGGTTGAGGTGTGTGTTGACAAGATCCTTGCCAATAATTACGACTTTCGTTTAAGGATGATTGTTGAACCTTAAATTATGGATTTTTTGTCTTAATGAATGTTTGGCAACTTGACTGTTTATAATTTCAGCCCCGATTTACCGCGCCCCGATATATCATTACCGCAAACCCCGATTTACCGCGGCTGTTTCCTTTCCCCCAAACTCCGCGGTAAATCGAGATTTCACTGTATTAAAGTTCCAATGAAAAGAGAGGCTGTAGAGTGTAGACCTAGTACAATAGAGGGGGGGGGGGGGGGGGGGGGGGGGGGGGGAATAGACCTGCTCTATTTTCTTGGCAACTTTTCTAAATAATAGTACTAACTCAATTAATTGGGACGCTTGTTCACTTACGTTCACTTATCTAAAATCTAAATAAGTGAAAAAGTACCTTGAAGCATTTCTCAAGTATCGCTAACATTGGACAATAACCCTAAACGGTCTCTATATCTACTGCTGGCTTATTTCGTAATGTGATTGCTTGGGTCGCGTTAACCATATTTGGCAAAAGTAATTTTAAGTTGTGTGATATTTTATTGCAAACGTTATATCATGTAGTCAGAACTTAAGCCCAATTTAGCTAGAATTAGAATTATTGGTGTCATCCCTGCAGACAAATTGATCATAATTGGAATAATGAGTTTCTACAAATTGCTTTTTTATCTATTTCTCAGTAAGAGCGTAGTTTTCTGGTTCCCGGTATTTCTCTCCAGTGAAATAAATGTACAAAATCAGATTTCTGCTTGGTCCTTTTAACTGTTAAGTGCAATATCAAAGCCAAGATATTAAAACTGTATCAGTCAGACATAGTTTAATGTGCAATATCTGCTTGGGTTGACTCTCACAATATGACGCTTTCTTGACACACAAGTGACAGTTTAATATAATTATAGTATTTGGGCACGCAGCACAGTTACCTAATATATGTGTACAAGCAATGACACAGTCACACAGTGCATTTATATATTATTGTCACTGAATTATCAAATACGTTTTCTGAGGAAACTGTTGTGGCTTCATTACAATCGAAGCTGGCTAACATTCCAGTGCTTCCGACAAATAAGAAGAACAAAATGTGTCATGTTGTATCACCCTTCGATTAATTGTAGCCGTTTAACAGACGGTTGCTGCTGAAAACTTATAGTTCACCAATTGACCAGATATGTATCTGAATGGTTATAGGCCAAAATTGCTAGACCAAAAAAGAACAAGATTTGCATTTATAATGTGTATCCTATCCTTCAGTCATATCTGTGATAATATTCTACAATTGGGGAGATGGAAAAACCGGCACTGTACCAACTGAAAAATAAAACCGACATCGGTATTAACAATATGTTAATTGGGAAAAACTTTCACTCCCCACCCCTTTAATATCATTAAAAGCGGGAAGCGAGGGTGATATCTTACTCTACAATACCTTTAAAGCTCTATCAATTCCACCAGATAATACACCAATTAATCACCATCAAATTATAACTTATTGGCTCGTTGCCCTCAGATGTACAAAGAGTACGACGTATTGGGAGCGGGAGAGGAAGATCTGCCCGCTGTTGACGAGCTCGGCGTGGAGACTGAGCCTACCATGGTGCTGGAACAGCTCTGTGATGAGTTTGAGAGACAGGATCTGGACGATGAGGTAATTTTAACTTTGTTTGGTTTGGGTGCCGTTATTATGGGGTAATTTGGGGAACTTATGGTTTGTAATTGTGTTTCATTGGTGTTTCATGATCCGTACTAATTAAAAGTATGTGCTATTTCCCATTCTGCACCCGTGAGACAATCTGAGAACTAAAAATCGCCGACTTTCCCATCCGAATCTAACTCTCAAATTTTTTGATACATTATGTTACAGTGGCTTCAACAGTAGAAAGTATTAAAATGACATCTTCTTATTTATACAGCATATAATATATGTGATGAGGTAATGTTGCTATGCCGGGACCTGGCCCTGCTAAATATCCGGTGTTATGAGGGACTGTATTGGGTGACTACAGATCTGAAACGTGCACTGTTCTCTCCTATTATCCGGGATTATTGCAATATTATAATCACGTGTCAGAAGCCTGACAAGCCCTGAAAAGTTCACATTTTATGAAATACTTGTGAGCGATTGTAAGTTATAAGCAGATAATTGGATGTATTGTGTGGACTGTGTGCAGTGTATAAGTGTGTGACGTAATCTCTCAAACTGTGAGAGAGGCTGCAGAGTGATAAAGTAATAATAACTGCTTTCCTCCGTAATTTGCGAAATAGCACAAATAAAGAGTGAGCTACGTCATACCTATATAATATATAATATGTGTGAGAGACGACTCAATATTCAAATTGACTCTGAATATTTTATTGGTGATTTATACTCTGCCTATGTAGATTTGACGAGCTTACGTAATGATCAGCTTCGTGCGTGGTATATTGTGTAGTGTTGAGGTAGCACTATCTGGGTGCTGTGTGGCTAATTACTAATTACTAATTATTGATTATTACTAATTACTAATTATTACTAATTACTAATTACACTGGCTATTACCGAGCATCCATTCTTGATTGTACTCTGCTCTCTGTCATGATGTGTTAGAGTGAAGCAGTCGTTGAGATACACCTGGATATGATATGAAGTTATAATATCAAGTATGTTTAATTATATAAGATATTGTGCGAGTTCTAATCGCTCAGCAGTCATATCACATATAATGATGTTTATTTAAATATTTTGGCAATACGTAATCACTTTTTAAACTTTTCCGGAGAATTACAATTTTCTGCAGAATCACTAAGGTTGACTGTAATGTGGCCCAGAATAGACCGACCGCCAGCTGCTGTGTACACTATACGTCATATTACAATTTTAAGTGGAGGCTAGCAATATGTACCTATTACAATCTACAAGTTTAGACATTTTGTAAGTACTGTCTAATGTCCCCTGCACACTATACACAATCCCGCTGCTCAGAGCAGGCTACATGTGACACAATGTGTGTGTGCAGTGTGTGTAGCGGGCTTTGTGACAAAACAATATATCTAGAGTGGGCCTCCTTCAGGCCATTTGTCCGGCACTGCAGCATGAGTGAAATGAGAGGCTGACGTATGCGTATTGACAACTTCAATTATTCCATACATGGGCAATCAGATTCTTGAGCTTAAATTCATGAATCGTGTAGGCTGGATTCTATGGAGATGGCCTCCTTAAGACGTCAATTATATTATTTCAATGAATGCCGAGAAAAATGTCTTGAATGTTTAATCATTGTGTCATTATTTTACGGAAACTAAATTTCAGGAAACGCTGACAATAACAAAAGCTAAGACACTAGCTCTCGCTCAAGAACATGCGGAAAGGCCGGAAAAGAAGGAAAAGGTAGTGGAGGAAATGGATCACCGAATTGCGATACAGTGGGACTGTGAAACCATATTGTCAACTTACTCCAACATCTACAACCACCCAAAAGTTATCGAGATACCGTTAAAAATTAAACTTGATAAGAGAGGAATAGCGATTAACGAAGTGCCGGAAGACAAAGACATGATCGATGAGGAAGAAGAGGATGGGTACGTGAGTCAGTCTGATGAAGAAGAAGAAAAAGTTGTCATATCAAATTATAGGACAAAATCAGAAACAGCCGAGGAGAAAAAGGCAAGGAAGGCCGCTGTAAAAGAGGGCCAGAGGATGAGGAGGCAGATCAAGAAGGCAACAAAGGAAGTTTTCAAAGAGGAAAGTACCAGAGAAGGGAAATTCGCCGCCAGCAAGGTCAAGGGGAGGGTTATAAAGCTGTAAGGCCGGCTTGCTGGATGGCGATTGGTCGATTAATTTATTTAACTTTTAAATTATTGTTTTACATGACATGACCTTGGAGCTGCAGGGCAGCTTTTTCGATAGTTTAACATCAAATTGTATTCGGTTTTATTTCCTCGGAGTTCATGTTTGAGTTATCAGGTGTAGATTGTATATTCAGCGAATCTACCGATTGTATTTCAACAGTCAACTTCCCTGAATGTGTCAAGTGGCTCAAAATCATGGTTTCACCTGCAGTAGCAGGCAAACGCAACGACACAGGTTCATACAAATATTTTATATTTTCGCGCGCACGACATAACATAGTGCAATTCAATGCCATGTGTGAATGACGTGCCTGATAATTTATCTGGGTGAGAATATTTGAGCACGAAAGCACTGCGCACGTGTAGCTCGTCTCAGTTGCAATCGTGAGTTTCGTCACTGTTACAATTTGTCTCGCTGGTGAACATTGAACTGAGTTAATGCTTCCATCCTTTTATCCTCGTCGTGGTCACTTGATCACTTATTGGTATTTATCTGGAAGTATTTTATTGTGCGAGTTTAAGATCTTTTATTTATCATCTACAATTTGTCAATTTCTCTTCGACTGCCTCGCTAAAATTTTCGTCGGAAGAATCTTAACTTACAACCGAACTATGACTATTTATAAAAATGCACTTAATCACTGATAACTATTCCCATATTCACCACTTATGTCGTTAGTAATTACTGATCCGTGTTCCTACAATATAGAGATTTTCCGTCAGCAATCACAAACTGTACTAAGTTGCTGTTCTTCTATCACAAAAAATTGGGTTCAGCGTAGTTTTCCGATGGGGATTATGAGAAATACCATCTGTTATGGCTAGTTAAGGTGTCTAGTTTTGAGTATTTTATGGTGACTTTCTTATGGGGCTAGTGACGTTTTGGACTTAGTTTTTAGGTTGCTACGGGTAATGAACATAGTCTCTTAGATTTACTTATCATTGAATTTAGTTTTCCGAATACATTCATCGTTACCACCTATGTTACGTCAGCATCTTTCTTCTAGCAAGACGGTGTTTCGAGATTTGCCAAGAAGTTTATGCTAATGTACATATATCTTTCAAAAACGACGTGAAAATGGCAAAATACTGCTGATGTAATATACGAACAGCCCCGCACCTGGTCCACAGTGACGTATACAATGTAGACAGTAAATATCCAGTATTATATCAAGTTACGCGTACTTGTAGAGTGCATATTATGTTGCATAATAACTTTATGAGATGTCCGATTCTGAGTATATGATATTAGGGCTCTCGTGCACGCGAATTACAGATTCCACCACGATTTTTTCATCGCTGAACCGCTATCATTAGTGCTTTCCTTTAATTTCCAAAATGATACTAATTTTCTAGACATGCAAAGAAATATTTTGCGGGCAGTATTGCTAATAACATGACAGAAACCTCAAGAAATCAACCACGGCACACAGAGCAGAACATCATCCAGGACTGACAGAGCTTTAATCTTAATAGATAATTGACGGATGTTACTCGTCTAAATTTCTTCGAAGTAGCGCGCCCGGGGCCAGACCATTAACATTAACAATGGTCAAAATAGATAACCATCAGAATTAGTAACTTGACAACTTTTGTATCAAATCCACTAATATCTCTAACCGTATCGTTCCGTTTGGGATCAGAGGCTGGTTTTAGCCTACAGCTAACTGTGGGCCGGGGTTGTTGGTTTCTGTCGGCCTTGATATAAAACCAAAATCAAGGAGGGAACTCTCCAGTCTTTTATCGTATGATGTTCTCAAATTATGACGTTATATATTCAATATTCCAAATACCAAAGCTCAGACTAATAGCTCGCAGATTTTGAAGTCAAGTTTCAATTTAAACGCATGACGATTGCGAATCTTTATTGCTTCAAGTTCCCCACAATACGGAGACACCAGCGTAATTTAAACTATTTAACGCGACCAACTAAATGCCAGCTAATCAAACTAGATTTAAGCTCGTTATATGAATGTTCCATTAAAATCTAGAAAACTGCCGAGTTTGCCCACATCAAATGTTAAATAACCACATCAAAAGCTAAATGGACAACAACTGAACAATATCAAGAAGCTAAATAAAGACATTTATCAACGGAATTGCCGCTAACAACACTACTAGAAATCAGAAATAGAAGAAAAGAAATAGAACCGTGAATAGATGGAGCTCCTTAGTGACAGTAGTCAGTACGGCTTACTACTATAATACGTATTTTCACTCTTTCACATCTCATATCAGCTGATGATGCGACTACAGACTAATTTATATATAACAAGAAATTTTTAAATGGATTTACTAGAGAAATTTATGACATCTAAAAGTGTCTAAATATCTAGAATCTAGATGATAGTGCTCCCATGCTAGACCCTGTATTTTCCTCCAAGAGTTCATGATCCTATTTACGTTAACATTAGGCTAAAGTTTTAAGACCCCAGTATGAAACTACCCATTACCATATCCGCCCCTATGATACACCTCGACACCCCCTTTAAAACATACAACTTCTTAATTAACCTAATTTCCTTATCGTAATCATGCTCCGTGTTTAGGTTCAATTATGTGGAGTAATGAGAGACGAAACGAGATGAAACGAAGATTTCACGGAAAACCACAGGTTTGCGAAAACATTGAAGTTGGACTTCCTGCCAAACCGCACAATCAAGACTGAAGAGGTATAAAACGTCCCGCAAGGCGCAACTTTCACAGCTTTGTACTAAATTTTAACGTTAATACCACCCCGCATGTGAAAATCATATTCGTAAACGCGAGTTCAAATAGAGGAGGGACGGAGGAGCAGCCTAACTTTGTGTTTTATGTGTAATTTTTGGCTAGACTAAAATTATTAAAAATGTCGATTATGTAATGGAACGTGATTTATGGTTAAATTAATATGAAATGTTCGCCACACTGAGTACTGACATTGTCAAATGTGGTCGTTGAATTGACCGTTGTATGAAACTAATAGAACGAACATTTATGGTAATTTATATTTCCCCCCATTGCAAATATCACCTTCTATATATCACCAACACTCAACAGCCTGTGCTCCCTCTATCAGACCACCTACACTTACAGAGTTTAAATCGTCTAATATTACTATTTTCCATACGAATTTGTGCCAGAACTGGGGAGGTCGTTCGCTTCCGGTCTGTCTGGAACTAAAGTACAGCACCATATTAAATTTAATACTCAGTAATTTATAAGCCAGAACAAATTATTGCAAGAGCGTCTGCAAGATCGGATTCAAGGTTCTCTCCCTAAAGGGCTGAACACAACACCGTACCTAATCACATTTCTAATCCGATAGCTGAGAGTCCAATAAATGACTATTCTGGTCACATGCGCCGGATCTGCCCCCTGATTGGCGGATGTAACAGGGGACTCTGTCTCTAGTGGTGAGTGAGGACCCGGCCTCCTCCCTCTCCTCCTCAGCTGGTCGTTAGTCAGTCCCAGGAACGTGATCATGTGTGCACTGCTGGAAAAGTAACGAGCACTCCAGCTCAGCTAGCTAACTAATTGAAAGTGTGAAAGAGAACATGCACGGCAGATAATATCAGACCCGCGTGTCCAGCCGTAGCAGTAGGCCGGTGACACGCAGACACTACGTCTGGCTGCTCGGTCTCCAGTTCTCACGGTGCCCGGCCGCCACGTGACACTCCCCACCAATCACAGAGCTCGCTGCCTCCCCACGTGGGCGGATCGTCAGACTGGTGGACTATGTGGAGGCGCCGGCAAGTCTGCTCACTCGCTCGTTTGTCATGCTGCTACTCTCAGTACTTGTTCTGGTGCCCGGTTGTCTGGCAACACTGCGCGGAGGCCGCTTATCTCCCGACACTATGAGAGATCTTCTCTCCCGTGCTGCGCCTGGCATCGGTCTCCACGAACAGATACCATATGTGTACCAACAACTTGTTAAGATATACGCATACCCCGACAGTATTACTTCCAGTGGCAACACTGCTAGACCCTATCTGCTAAACCCAAAAACTGGTAAGATAACGAACAAATGTTTAAAGTAACTGCTCGTGATTTTTTACAAACATTTATTTCATAAATGTTACTGGCATACATTTAATTAATCATAACCATGTTATAACTCACATATCCATATATGATATCGATATGGTCAAATTCATTGCAATGGTCCTGGAGAATTCCATAATTCGTACTCAAGTCACTAGTCACCTTAATGTATTTGTTCCAGAAACCCTAAAATACCTTGAAATATTTGTACCAGCCTTTTTTCTAATGAAGCGCCCTAAATATTCGACAAATAATAGCAAATAATAATATTTTCATAAGGATTCGACTATAAATAGAAGAGGAGAAGAATAGTGCATTGATGAATTAACTTTCTAGTCTGTAAATAAAATACCATACCTTTCGTCGGTGGTAAACTTAATCGCAATATCTATAACATAAATATCTATGCTTCATTTCATATTTAAACATAATGTAAAAGTACGTGCGACTAACTGCTACCAATGATATAACTGATTTCAAATGATTTTGAGAACCCTTTCATTCTTCGCCCTCTTGAGTGGGTCCATCATATTTGATAACTGAGGTCGAATTGGGAATATCCAATCTCTACATATTAGTGTAGTAGTCTCTCTCAAATTCAATTAATTTCAAGAACCGGTAAAAATTAATCACAATACGATGATATATGTAATTTCCTGGCATTATTTACTGCCAGTGCCAATGATTGCAAATAATTGGGGAATTGGTTTATAAATAATATTAAGTTAAAGAAGATGATTCTTCCTACGTGAGTACGTGTCTTTTATTGCGTTGAGACTCTACGTTAACTCCAAAGCATGGAAGTTAATATTTATATAAATATTATACCTACAAACACCTAACTTGAATTGGCTCAGTAAGAGAAAATATTTTCTTCTCCATCGATGTGTTGTTCCTTCTTCCTTGATAATCCAAGTACAAGTAAAAAAGGTCGCACAAAGATTTACCCAAATCTTTGTTTTGTCATATTTCATAGATGAAGTGGTATCGACTTTCATTTCTCTGTTCTGCCACTGAAGCTTTTACTCATTTCTTTCTCAGTAAAATAACACTTCTCAAAATTTGGAATGATTGTGGTTTTGTTAATTCCATTTCACTTCGATTATTCCTTTGCGGTGATAGCTAAAGAAACTTCTCATATGTTCGATTAAGTGCGGTTTTATAAAATCTTTTTGATCTTTAATTATTCCTCTGCAGCTATTTCTAAAGTAATTCAACTACTCAATACCCATCACCGACTTTATTTTAAGACCACATTCCTCATCGACCTCAAAATCTCATCTTCTTCATCACAAAGTTCTAAAAAACTAGACTTCCTTTGTCGGTAACCGGCTGCTTTTCATTGGATACCCCCACGCATACCGCTATTTGAGTGAATTTATTTATTTATAATATCTATCTTGATAATTTAACGGTCATGAGTGGTTCGCATATTTTCATATCCCAGAATTCTGATTTACAAAACTCATCGGTCATACGTTTAGCCGCTATAGACAGAGTTCATTGCGTAATATTCCCATACCAGCCAGTTCCTTGATTCCCAAGCATGTAAAAGCTAACACTTCACACCTCGTGACTGCTTCCCCACGATTACTAACAGTGAAGTTTTTGTGAGCTGCGTTTAAATCTCACAAGCTCGTGCACGGAGCACGCCACTTGGCAGGGGCTAACTAGCAATGAGCCGTCATTTTTAACATGTAGCTACTTAACTGTTTTCAATCTTCATACTCAAATTCCAACGAGGACTCAAGTATGTGTCATATTTATTTGCTGTCAAATCGCACGCACGCGATTTAAACGCGGAACTTGAGCTCCGAGCATGCGAACTGGCCCACCAACGTTCAGTTAGAGATAATGGTGACCACCATTCATGCAGGCAGTTGCGTTGCTATTGACTACTAACTTTATCTTTTGACTATTAACTGAGAAAAACCACTCCTCCGTTGAAAATTAAATGCCCACGTGTTCATTGCATCGCACGTGCGAAATCCGATACTAACGATATTGCACGTGTTGCATCTTTTGACGAAATTGGGGCGGTTTTTGAACGCATCTGACGATAATGCTTTAAACTGTTAACATTCCCGTTTTTTCGATGACCATGTTAATTTTTTAGCGTCCGATGATCTCAGTAGATTCTGGAACTTATCACCTTGTGATTGGATACTGATATAAATAGTTGACGCGGAATATTTTCAGATGATCGGACAGATTGCCTGGTGTTACATAGCACACCTTACAATAAGCTGGTAAGCGTGCAGGAGGCCGAACTTCACCTATATCTTCCTAGCCTCGTCAATGGGAATCCTGGAGATGCAACTTCTATTCTGGTTGGTTCTATTTAAAGATTAACAAATCGGTTTTATGTCATCGATATTTTTTGAACGTGGAGGAGTTAAGTTTTTCAACTTAAAGAACCAGAGGGGCGAGGGCATTGTTTAAATATTGAATTTGATCACGCATATTGCTTGATCCGCGTAAAACTCCTACTTTTGCATCTGAAAAGATTGTCCTATGTTAACGCCTGCGCCCTGCACCGAATTTTATATTTTACTAAACTCTCCCTTTCATAAACTATACATATTAATTTTTAATCATTAAATTAATTCTGCAGATTAAAAGAAAGTTACCGTATGGTATACGAGAGGATCAATTCGTTCTAAAGTGGTCTGAATCGTGGATTCAACTGAATATCACCCAAAGTATAGAGGACATTGATTTCTGGCTCAGAGACGGGCTGTGTGTGTCAGCCATTAACGATGAGATCAAGTCTGTTCCAGAACCCTGGAGATTTAGTGAAAATAACACAGGTTCCTAATTTCAATGATGTGTGACGACAATTTTTATGATTATCACCATAACTTTTCATTTTGGAAACATTATGCTCTATTTTCTTTTTATAAACTGCCATCATACTACTATGTTCATAATATACAGATATTGAATTGAAGCAATTTTACAGATGATTTAGCGTTCGTTGTGGCCTGGTCTAAAGAGATGATGTCAGTTCCCCTGAACATGAAGACCAAGAGATCACACCGGTCCAGAGACCGGTCCAGGGACCGGTTTAGGGAAACCGCCTTCAATCACTCACCGTTCGGGAAAAATGTTGGGCGAGCAGTAAGTACGAACTTCGTAGTACGAATTTTTATCTCGTTTGACAAGTAAATACTCTTTTTTTCTAGTTAAACACATATAAGCATTGTTGTGTATATATTGTAAAGTAGCATATATAAATAATATGCATTATACAATTCCTATTATCAGAATAAGTTTGGAGCAGAGCGGTGTGCGTTAGAACCACTATACATCGACTTCAGAGACCTTGGTTGGGAATCCTGGATCATAGCTCCGCCAGGGTGAGTCATTCATGAGAAACTTATTGTATAATGTTTATGCGATAATTGAGTTATTGTATGATTTTTATGCGATAATTCAGTTTGAAATTTTCTGAGGAACCATGTGATTCAATTATTACTCACTAGTCACATTCTGTATTCACATCACCCGTTTTTTATTTCACTTAGAAAGGGCTTCAAACAAGTTTCACTGAGATTGCTGTAAAACAGTTCCCTAATAATACTTGTTGATGGAAATTAATGGGGCCTTATCTTTAAAAATAAAGATACTAAAGATGAAGCAGGAATATTTTAAGAGTTCATTTGGACAAATCACTGGTAAACCGGCAATGTATCGCTGGATAATGTCTAAAATCTAAAGTCTAATACCATAATTTATCGGATTAAGTTATTTTGTAAGTTTTAAAATGGCAAAAGCACACCAAAACTTTACCAAAACAATCCCTTAATTGGGCTGAGGTTTAACTTTGTCTCCTCTGACGCATCCCAAACATAACGTAGCCTTGCCACCTCTGATATCTTTAGCTAGCTCCTTCATACCATGAACAACTCCGTGATACCACACCGGTTCTGAGTTCATGTGATGATCATTATTTAACTGAGACACTGGATCACCCCTTCTCAGATGTGTTTCGAACTGCACTCCCTCCCAGTAGCGTCTGTCCTGGTTTAAAAACGAAGTCTCGGTAACGAGCCCCACTGGACCTGGACAGTTGAAGGAGAAGCCTGGTATCCTGGTGTAGGACGACACTGACTCTGCTATCAGTCCGCCTAGGGAGTGTCCTGTAAGGTAGTCCGGGTTGAGAGATTCTGCAGCCTGCATTCCTGAATTAATGGCACCTCTCACCTTCTCCCAGCCATCTTCAATTTTCTCTAGACCTTGAAACTGATCTGGCATGAGGTGAGCTAATATTTGGTCCGGATCAATCAGATCTAGATTCTGTTGGATGGTTCTGACTGAAGCTGTTCCACGGAAAGCCAGGATAGTTTTGTTTTTGAATTGTCCAGGTTTTATGACTCTGTAAAGAGCGTACTGAAGGTTCGTGTCTGTCGTAAGGTTCTCCTCGACTCTATGCTGCTTCAACTCTCGTACATATTTACGGAATCCCACCTTTTTGTCAAAGAAATAGCAATCGTTAGCACATATGGCAGAAGCGAGGAGAATTACCCTCTTCCCCTTCTGAGAAAAGTTTACTGCCATCGATTGTATCTCCTTTTTACAAGTATAACACTGTGCGCAGCAGAGCGATAATTCGTCTGCTCTTATTGGGGGTTTCTGAGTCTCCTATAGTCAGGACAACTTCCGAAAAGTTTTCTTTACTCCCTTGTCTGAAAGATAAGATATTATCCATATAAATGAAGAATGAAGAATGAAGAATGGCTAAGTAATGATTGAAATCTACAGACGACTAAAGCAACTGACAAGTGACAAAACTCGTGGAAATAACTTTTATGAATATTAAGAGCGATTCGCTTTCGATGTACTAAGTACTTAGTTAGCCCACCAAAAATGCTATGCTCGCATCAACTTTCAATGAGACAGAAAAGTATCAGACATAAATTTAGAATGTGCATGTATGATGCATATAATATGCAATGAATAATTATGTATGTACTATGTATTCACTGATAGTATTACTAAGAATAGCTCATTTCAGCATAATCGAGAGTCATGAAAAGGCTGCGAGCGATTAATTATTGACGCTGATGGACCTGGCCAAGGTGTCCGGCCCTCAACTCGTGCAGCACGGATATTTGAGTCGTAAGAGAAATCAGAGTTAGGCAACTTAAGAATAAACGATAAGAAAGTGAAGATTAAGACATGCCATTAGAAAGTGAACTGGACGTCAAAAAGTCTTTTATTCGATGTCGAAGAAAACTGAACAACATATAAATACTAATAGGTAAATAGGCAATATAAAGAGGAAAAACATACATGATACTGCAGGTATAATATACATTATACATGTATCTTGTATGTTGCATAACGTTAAACGAGTGCCGTCCATAAAACCCTGCTACACCAATATGTCACTCAAGGCAAGGTACAGAAAATAACATCTTGCTCAAGACTGGCACTATGTTTAATTATACTAGTATTAGTATTATATGAAGTGCTATCCTAGGATTTCCTTCAAATTCCTGCTCTAATAGAATAATGCGCTGCATGTTGAATGTATTTGAGGTACTGTGTATGGCATTTCTTAGATTGTTTCGCATCCTCCTGTGGATGTTTTTGCATTTGGCATGATTCCGGATGATGGTCAAGATATTTTGTTTAAGATGGAATTCAATAAATATCATACGTTATTAATTATTATATATCATCATTAGCGCGCACTTAGTTCACGTTGGTACGGTGGAAAAATAAGATTGAGAATTGTTAGTCACTTATTGTTAGTAGACGTATTGATTTGTTGAACAGTAAAGCTTAATGCTGCTAAAAATAAAATATACATTCAACATTCAATATATTCCATGCGGCTACTAAACAAACTGATGAGGTATTGGCAAAATATTTCTAGAGATATTCGTCAAGACGATTTTCTCCTAAATAAGAATTTGAGTATCTGCTTCCTCTGTGAATTTCGTGACTCCCTGTGGTTCAATCCCAATAACGGTGAGCTGATCATACTGAACGCATCTTTGTCCATTACGGTCGAGAAATCCCTCTGGATATCATCCGCCATATCGTCCATATGATGTGATGTACCAGGATGCCAGAATGGCTCTGAGTTTAAATGAAGTTCATAGTTAACCTGACTAACTGGATCATTTTCTCTGAGGTGAACCTCGAACTTCAGTCCCCGATAATGTTCAACATCAGGGTTGAGAAAGGAAGTTTCGTTCACCAGACCCACAGGTCCGGGACAATTAAAAGAGAAGCCAGGTATCCTGGAGAAGGAGCTGACCACCTCAGACATCAGCCCACCCAGAGAATGGCCGGTTATAAAATCAGGTTTTATCCTATCTGCTGCTTCCTGGGCTATATTGCAAATCTCCCTAATGGTATCCCATCCGTCCGTCTCATCCAACTGTCCGAACACACTTGGCAGGTACTCCCGCAGAACTTGGCCCGGGTCCAACATGCTGATGTCTTGGAGGATGGTGCGCGTAGTTTTAGTGCCGCGTATGGCGAGGACTCGTTTGTTGGAGTGTTCTGGAATGCCTGTTAGTTGGTACACTGCATACTGGACCTTGTTACTCGACCTCATGTTCTCTTCTACTCTGGGAAAACATAAATAAGCAGAACAAAGCAAGTTATCCATGTCAATACTCACAACTTTGATAAATCAAAAGCAGCAATGAAACTAAAATGTACAAATTATTAGGATTATTCAAACCTATATTCAGTTAACTCAGTTGCGAATTTGTCCAAACTGTGTTTTCGCTCGAAGAAGTAGCAGTCTTTAGCACAAGCTGCCAATGCCGGAAGTAGTACTTCCCGCTCTTCATTGGTGAAGTTCACCGCCATTCTGTTGATAAGCTGTTAACTAGGAGATAACAGAAAATAGAAGAATATACCTTAAGGGAGATTTTTGGACTTTTGCTTCTACTTACAATAGTTGAGTGTGTCCCATATCCTAGCCTAAAAGTCCGGTTATATATCGTGATCCTGGACCAATATATATGGCAAGTTTGTTAAATATGGCAAATCATAGTTAAATAATATTATAGCTTGCAGGAGTTTTGGCTTATGCACATTGCACAAAATGTGCCTCAATTATGCTCATCACCAGCTCAACTTGACCCACTACCCAGTTATCCTGCCCATCTAATTGTAAACCTTTCAATGAGAGTAATTATAACTTTGTACATCATTTGTTGTGTTAAACTCAGCAATGTTGTACAAGGCAACTTTATATACTACGCTGTTGAATAATTCAACCTGAGACTGCCTAAAGGCTGCAAATTTGGCGAATTTTTCAGCTTAATTGCGTTTTTTTCTTCCAAGTTTGCCGTACATAAACAAATTTAGGCAGAATCGCACTATTTGCAAAATATTACCGCACCTACATGTTGCCTCTGGTAAGAACAAACTCAATGTGAACGGCAGATTTGAGAATAGCGTATCTTACCGGAGTCAGTAACTTAATCATCGGCCACGACCCACCTGCAGCCAGTATAGTGTATATTTCATAACTAATTGCAAGTTACAAATTAATATGATCATAATATATGATAATATTTGAATAATACAATATACAATGATTCATGGCTTCAATGGCGTAACGTTGTTACGTTGCCCCCCCCCCCCCCCCCCCGCTGAAAAAACGCCCTCCTTTTGGCGCCCCCTCCCCTTTTGGCGCCCCTCCCTAAATTTGAACAAATTAGGTGATTATAGGGGATACGCCAGTAAAATCTCTAAAAAAGTGTGTTTCTAAAGCAAAACGCGCAGTTTTGCTAGTACCGTAGTTAAGTTTTTCCAAATTGTCCCACATTCAAACGACGATTTGCCCCCCCCCCCTTCAGGGTCGGCGGGGCCCTTCGTTTCGCCACTGCATGGCTTGATCAGGTTCAATGCAGCTAGTTAAATATCCTTGTATAATGATAATTATCCGACTAGTTTAAAAAGAAGAGGCCACACCAAAATAATGCTAAAATGTATACGTATTACTTATGCGATACATATCCCGTAGCGGAATTTATTACATTAGTTTAAATTAACTCCAAGCGTACCAGTAGGTAAACTATTAAGAAGGTATCCTGTGCGGGAGCAAAGGGTCTTAAATCTTCATTCAGTAGAGCTTGTTGAACTGTACACAGGTAAAAACATTGTACATTGTACAGGATGCAGTCATTAAAATTAAGACAAAAGTAAGGCGATGTTGCCAACTATGCAAAACAAGTTGATATGTAGTACAAATGTACTGTATGTATACTGCTGGTATAGATTATTATATAGACTAGTATAGATTATAGACTACTACCATAGAGTGTAGGTGTTAGCCTTTATGCCGAAAGTGCATGACGTGTGCTCTGATAATTGTGGGAGAAGTCTGGGAGTAATATATTATCAGGTCTTTAGACAGTAGTGCCAGCATAATGGTATCAGTTATCATAGCAAAATAACCATGTTTATGTTGATTAATACAACTGACGTACACTGCAGCACGATGACCGATCGACCTCATTGAAGCAAAGCGGACCGAAATAAAGTGCAATCAAGTGTTCCTGAGTCGTATATGTTTCTACTGAGAAGCTGATAGTGAGAGAGTTATACATTATTCTTCGTAGAAAATACAATGTACAAATTCCATGTGTTGTCCAGCACGTAACTGTTGCGTAAATTTGTCTGATGAAATGAAAGCGGCAAGCCTAGAACAAAAAGAAAAGCCTAGAGTTAAAAGTGAATAATTTGAAAGCTGCTGAAGTGCGATCAGCCTTACGTTTCTCTTCGTGACCGTTCACATAAAACGTCATTATTGTTGCGCAATCTCACACCTCTTCCGTCATCACTCCAATAGAAGGGCCTCTAAGGTCTTTATGTCGAAATTACCTAATTAGTAAATATAGGTTCGTATGTATATATCTTCCAAGTTGCCCATCGGGTAGACTCCAACATACCAAGTGGCAAGTACCAGCTTCGATCAGAATTAGAAATCTGATATTAGAAATCAAGCTAACATAATCACATAAATTATAATTCAAAGTGAGACAATTCAAATGAATAAGATGAGCTAAGAACCTGAAAGACGCATCCATGTGCGGATCAATTTAGGATGACTTCATTGATCACGATTAGTCGTAAGAGGTACTACTTTAAATTATCTTTTCGTAGTGTGCGTAGCACTCATCTACTCAACTACTCAACGCCCTTTAAATCATTTAATCCAAATAGACTCATAATCATTCTTCTGTGGCTTGGAAATTGGAAAGCCCTTAATTTTCGATACAATTTCAATGTTAAAGTGTTTACGAGATGTTAAATAATAATGTGTGAACCGATTTAGTTCACACATCTAAGGTTTCTACACAAGAAAAGTCAACGAAATAAGTAATAAAGTTAAAAATAATATTTTAGCTGGGTCCAAGTTCCAACATATCAGGACTGCAAATAAACTACGCTGTAACGGCTTTGATTGAAGCGCAATACACCACTGTCATTTTCCATCAGCATAATATGGTGTCGAATTATTATCATTGATAATCCACGTTTACTACAAACTTATCACCTAATGTTCCTGGCGACTCAAAAAGAAGTACATATTAGGTTACAATCGTTAACATGTCATGCATTCAGTGTGTACGCAGTAATAAACAGTAATCGACGTCTTGCTACATTTATCACGATTAAATTGGTGTAATTATATACTAGTTTGCGGATAATTACATAATATGTTATCTAATTTGAAATTTGTTGATAAACATATGCCGAGATAATCAGGCTGAGTGCACATGAATTGAGTTACTGCTTAAAAGCTTTTAACACAGATTTCACGATTCAACAAAATGGGGAGTTCTCAAATCCAAAAGTAGATGTAGAAGATAAAACGAAAACACAGAGAATAACCTCTGCAATCCAATCCGTTTACAAAAAAAGCGAGCATTATTTCACTGTTTTCAAAGTAAGTAGAACTACTGTACGATCGTTTATAGGCAGCAGTGATTGTGATTAGTCTTCTTCCACTAAGTAACTGGATGAATGACTAACCATTTCAAGGAGCGATGTTTATTTTCAAATATCTCGACTTCTTCTGATGTCGGATAGTGATCTAAATTTCAGTATTTCATTGGTAAACATTTAACGATTTAAAACTGTTTAACTCTAGCATTTGGCATAATTAGCCAAGTTTTCATTCAACATTTCACTCACAAATATCTATCTTTGAGTCAATTAAATCCTAATTGATAATTAATTGATTGTTTCAGACTAGAGGTTGGCTCATGTAGTGGGACGTGTATGAGGGACGATGTCTCCAGTAACTACAACCTTATCATCAGCAATATATCCAGGTACAGTCACACTTACATCATAATGTCAATTTATTCGTATGTTTTAATTTTAAATAACTCATGTCCATTGTCCCCGTCGTTTTTGTTCGCGTTTTCTGTTCGTCGTGAGGGTGAACCTAGAGTAAGGCTTTATCTAATTTAAGAAGTTTAATCAATTTTCGTCGACCAAAGTTTGAAGTTGCTAAAATGAACTTTAATTTCAGAGACCCGGACTTGTACCGGCTATACAGTCTTGCTGGGATCCGAACTGAAACGACGTGTGTCCCAACATCACTTCTCCCAACTGTCCTCATGTTCATTGGTGAGGACCAGGACATCGTGGTGCAGTTGGTGGAGAACATTTTGGTGGGAGGGTGTGGGTGTGTTTGATGAAATTCAGAGGTTCACAGATTTTATCAGCCCGAGATCGCCGTCGATGATGAAGCATTAAAATGGTGATGACCAACCATTACCTATAAGAGGACTAAGGAAGACGCTAGTCACTGAAATACTGAAATATACCAAGACTCCGAAGAGGTTGATCCTCTTAACCAATCAGAGCCGCTTAAATATCACGTAACTGGAAATACTTTAATGCCAGCGATTATGTATTTTCCGGTTGAAGGTAAACACTACTGACAGTGACTAATGTTTTTAGAAAAGAAAGACTGTAAACATACAACTAATTCTCATTTCTCGGGCCGCTTGTAAAATTGAGATTTATTGGTATATTGATACGGTTGTTGATTGCTATAATTTGGCTGATTTCAGTGGTAGTGTTTTCGTCGCTACGCGATTACGTAAAAACTTACCGTTAAGTTTTTATACATAAATACGAACCCCTGCCTGCTACTGCTAGCTTATCGTGTGCTTAATTATAATAACGTATTATATTCCCTTGCGAGAACGAAAGAGAATCATTCGCTAAATGATTGTTTATACTAATCGGTTGTAAGTTTTTCAAAATTTGGATTTGATAGCTGATTTCGCGAGCGAAACCCACAACCCAGGTTCAAAATATGTAAATATGTTTTGCATTTTGGTTAACTTCCCTTATTAATAAAATTATAATCAGAATCTAAAACAAAATTTATCATTGATTATATGTATTCGCATTGTTTAGATATATATTGATTACTAAATACTACAACTACAAATGCATGTATTAACAATTAACTTACTCTCGTAGTTCTAAATATAAATCGAGATTAACCATTTGACAGATCCGGTACCTGATTTTATATGTATAGTGCTCAAATTCTTGACATGATTCACCGAAACAATGCTGGAAATTTTATTTCGTATATCTTTCCTTAACCTAGCTTGCCACTGCCTGTCTTTTGTTCAAATCGGTCGCGGTGCATAGGGATTGGTGTGCCGCAGGTACGAGGTAAATACTTTTCAAGCAATTTCAAATACTGTATTTACAGTTACAAGTTAGCTGTACCAAATGGCCTGGTATTGTATATACTTGCCGACTTGCGCCGTCCAATGGAAATGTCATATTTCCACACCTGTCACGAGGCTTACTGCGGGATAAACAAACATCTTTTCCATTTTCTCCGAAATATTGATCTCATGTTTGGACAAAAGGCATGTGTTTAACACAAAGATTAAAAAACTGCATGCAATAATTGCAGTTTGAGAATTACTTATAGGTTTATACGTTATAACCTAACATTGATTGACGATGTCAATTCTTCGCATCTCGCCTATCTGCTTAAGAAGAAGAGAAGCATTATTTGATGCGCGCGCGACCCAGTAGTGCATCGCGCTACATGTAGCGCGATGCAAAACCTAACAAGACGAGGCGCGCGCCAAGTTAGACTCGTCGACGGTAGTATAAAAATAGTTGAAATATTGACCATTGTTAATGTTCTGGCCCGGCGCGCGTTACTTCGTTCATGTTCGTAGCACTTGCCATTTCGAGAAGAAAGCGACGCGCGCTAAGCTACTTCGAAGTATTTAGACTAGTAACATCCGTCAAATAGTTGAAACAAATATTTTGCAAGTATCACCCGTTTTACAATTCACAATTATGAATTAACAATAAATACATTTTTGCTTTGGAACCGACTTGTATCACGTCGTGACCCCCACTGTCTTTTCATTGTAGCGCGATGCGTTACTGTGCCGCGCCGCGCACTCAATGAGGCTTCTCACAGCGCCGAGCTGAGATGAATTGACATCGTCAATTAATCTTTTCACTATAGTGGAGTTTCACCCCTGTAGAGTTTTACCCCTGAAGAGTTTCAACGATACAGGGGGAGCCGCGTAATTGTAATCGTGCGCGGCGGGTCGATCATACAATGTATGACAAGAACAGACGACATAGACTATAATATATATATATGATATAAAACATTTAAAATTTGTTTCAAGCTTATTTCAAGTGTAAAAAAGAGTAAATATTTTTTAGGCGTGCCTATCCTGGCCTGAGTGCGCGGCAAATGGATGATGGAAAATGAAGAAGTAAGCAATAAACTAGCAAACGCAAGTTGACGGATGTTACTCGTCTAAATTTCTTCGAAATAGCGCGCGCCGCTTTTTTCTCGAAATGACCCGAGGCAAGTGCTACGCGACGAAGTGAATAGTAAATTTTTTGCTCTAACCAGAGCCCTCTCGCGTCACGCAGTACGCGTAGACTTGTAAGTTTACAACTTACCAGGACGCACGCCGAGTTGGACTCGTCGACGGTCCAATATATGGAACAGATATTTTACGAGTATCACCCGTTAAGCGTAGACACATGGCTATGTGAAGTAAATTTTAACAAGCACGAGTGCGCGGCTGTATCGTAGTCATGAGTCACGATACATACATTGTCATTTAGTGAAACGATAATGGGGCCGGGATCACTTGTATCACGTGGTGACCCCCACGGTCGCTTCACTATAGCGTCTTCGACGCTACAGGGGGAGCCGCGCACTTCGTGCGCGGCGGGTCATACAACGTATGACAAGGGATCACGACGTGATACAACTCGCAATCACTTCAGTAGATCGGTAAAATGCACCATTGGGCCTCGCCGAGCTGCGAAGGATTGACATATCGTGAATCAAATTTGTTCTAAGTATCAAAATTGTCGATCAAGAGTCCAACTCTGAACTCGGCGCGCGTCTTGATAGGTTATAATTATAATATAAATGTATAAACCGTTCCGGGTCAGTTCATTATATATATATATATATATAACTCTAAAACTCTGGTCACAAGAGCAACTGCCTAAACGTGCAGAAGTGAAAACAAATAAATAAAATATACTAGCAGTCCTTAATACTCGTAATAAATAGATTCATTTAATGTCATAAAACTCTTAACCATACACGTGACCAGTAAAATAATTTAATTGGTCTATAGACTACTGTATAAAATTCTCAATATATAAACTTTATTAACAATAATAAATTAGTTAAAATAACACCAACCTTTGGTGTATAAATGAGTAAACAACCTATTTGTCGTAAAATATCTTTCGTAATATTATAGTATATGCTATAATATCAAAACTGTTTATTAGAGTTCAGGTAACAGAACTTAACTGTAATGGCACCTCTGTAGTATTATCCGTTGTTGAGATGTAACCATTTTTTCGTCCGGTCTAACATTGACCCCGGCTCATGAAATATATGCTTCGTCCGGTCTAACATTGAACCCGGCTCACTAATCATAGGGATGGTGTAGTAGTTGGAATATGACACACTGTTTACAGTTTTATCTCTGTTCGAAGGAATTCTTCTGCATCCCTTGTTATTTCAACCGCTAAATCAAAGAACTCGCGAAGTCTGCTCCATGATATTAACATTGAATTTCCACCATAGCCCTGGTTAAAGATGTTGTGGAATGGGTGTCTTTTGAGAAGCTCACTCATGCTGTTCCTTTTATTTAGTTTTATATCATGACAGAAGATAAGCAGGTGAAGTGAGTTTTGCTCCCCTCGTCCACATTCACACAGTGGAGAATCAAATTTGCTGCTGTTGAACCGGTGAAGAAATTCATTCATGATGTTGTTGGGGTAGAACAGACTTAGGAATAGGGTTTCAAGTTGCCTTGTTGTTTTGGGCGGAAACTTAAGCTTTGTGGTGCTCACTGTAGGTGCCTCTGTATAACCTTCCAACTGATACTGGCTGTTTATGGAAGATTGCCAAAGCTGTTCACTGTAATGTTTCATAACCAATTTACTGTAGCTGCATCCTTTTGTTGATAAACTGGAGAATTTCTCAAGGTCATGGTTGTTTATGATGTTTTGATCCTCCTTGGTGAAGTGTTCAGGGTGTATCGAAGATTTCCACAATAGAAACTGAAATACATCTTTTATCTTTCCAGTGAGTGGGCTATAACTGCCTGATTGGGTTTGGGCATCGATGAGTTTTTTCAGTGGATCCTCTATATCAGGAAATATATTTAGTTTTAGGAGGTGCTTCACCGAGTTCACTTTGTTTGATATGGTTAGTGGCAACACACCTAATATCATTTCAGCTGTGGACATTCTTACATTGAACACTGCACCCAAAGCTGCCTTAATAGTCCTATACCAAGCACTTTCGACTTCTTTGATACTTCGATTATTGATCCAGACAGTTCCAGCGTAATGAATTCGTGAATATATGAGAACTTCAATTAGCCTGACGATGACATGTTGTCTGAATCCCCAGTTGCGGTTTGTATATTTGCATATTGTAGCCCACCGGCCAAGTATCTTTCTGTTAATATCCTTTGCATGATCAATGTAAGTGAGCTTCCTATCCATTATCAAGCCTAATACTTTGGTCTTTTCGACAAACAGGATCTTGTTGCTGCCAAGATGAAATGACACTGGAAGAAGCTTTGCATCGTTTTCTGCGGTACCAAATCCAATTAGTTCAGTCTTTCCAGGATCACAGTTTATTATCATTCTCCACGTTATACTCCATTTATAGATAGCATCGCATGTCATTTGTAGGTTCAGAAGACACTGGTGTGTGGTTTCACCTCTGACTCTTAATGTTCCATCATCTGCAAACTTGTAAACCCCTATATCTGGGTTGAGAGAAAGATCTTGTGCAAGGTCATGTAAATAGAATTTAAAGAGAATTGGAGACAGTGCCGAACCTTGTGGTAGACCAAATTCTCTACATGCTCTAATGAACCCAGTATAGTTGTTGAATATAAGGCGAACTTTTCTGTTGAACAGAAAGCTGTTTATAAGTTTCCATAAACTTCCCGACACTCCAAAATCCGACAATTTTTTCATGAGACCTTTTTTCCAAACACTATCAAAAGCCTTTTCAAAATCTATAAAGAGACAGATGACCGTGTATTTCTTCTGAAGATGACTACGAACATCATTATCTAGTCTGTTTAGATAGCGAACAGTGTTGCGCTTTTTAGTGAACCCTTCTTGATACTCATCACTAAGGCCCTTCATCTTGAAATGTTCTTCTAATCTGCTGGCAATTATTTGTTCAAACACCTTACCGATATAGGATGTTATAGAAATCGGTCGATATGATCCTGCTTTGCTGTAGTCAGTTTTACCGTCTTTCTTTAGAAATATTACGTCAGCAATATCCCAAACCCAGTGGCCAGTCTTCAAGCATGAATTCAACAGTGTAAGAATACATTCACAGGCAGTTCCTCCCAATTTCTTTAACATTACAGGGTGAAATTCAACGTTATCAAAGCTTTTTCCTGCTGTTTGATAGTTTTTGAAGAAGTGTTGAAGTTCACCTTTTGTTATCTCACGATTTAGCATATAATTTTCATCGTTGGTTGTGTACGTAGAGTCTTGGAGATCATTTTCATTACATTCAAGACATTCCGTATAAATTCTATTGACATCTTCATAGAACTTTGCATCGAAGTCTGTTCCTTTCTCCAGCAAATGTTTACCTGCGAAGAAGCTATCAAATAGAATTTCTTCAATATCCTTAGAATCTGTAATGAGATCACCATCTGCTTTCTTGAAGGGCTCTACCTTATTGTCACGTTTTTTAGAAAACATCCGATTGAATTCTTTCCAAAACTTTGTGCACTGGGAAGCGTTAAGATTGTTGGTTTTTGTTAAAATGAACTTTTGACACTCTTTTTTCCTTGTTTCATCAAACATATCTTTGGCATGATCTAGGGCAGCTTTGTTTGACAAAGTGTTACGTTTCATGTATAATCTTTTTGCTTCTCTAAGTGCTTTAGACATTTGGGAAAGTCTATCTGTCCAGTAAGGCTTGCTATGTGGTGTGGATTTCTTGTGTGTTGCAAACTTAGATGTTGCTGCATGGATTGTTGTGTTGATGATGTTCCATTGAGATGTAGCATCACTGTTAAAGAAGTCAGTTTTCTTAGCTGCTAGATCATCCTCAATATAATCTGACCATTTTGCCCAGTCGATTGAGCTTATGTCGATTTTCAGCTTGGGGGGCGCTGGTGAGTTTTCAGCACATACTGTTGATATTGATGATAAAATGGGCACATGCCCACGTATTGGAGCACCTGAGAATAGTTCTGCATCAACATCTGTTTTCATATCAGTAAATAGATGTTCTGTTGCTGTAGATGTTATCATAAAGTCTATCAAGCTATTTCCATTGTCCGATAGAAATGTTGGTTCTGCACTACTTATGATGGTGTAGTCTTGAAACTTCAGTTCAGTGGCAATCTGCTTTCCATAAGAGTTATCAGTATTATCACCCCATATCTGATGTCTTGCATTGTAGTCACCAAAAGCTATTACTCCCTTGGCGTTCAATTGGGCAGACAGCTTCTTTGCACTTTCAAGCATAGCCAGTAAGTCCTTCACAGCATCTTTATAGTTAAGCTTTAGATAAACTGAGCCCACAATGAATCGGAATGCCTTCCCAGTAACAATGCTCCAAGCTGCATCAATGTTTTTAGATAGTTTCGATATTTCGACTAATGGTGTTATGCTAAGTTTTCGTGTGTTGACATATATCATTGCACCTCTGTTAATGGATGAATTGCAATCTGTTACATAATTCATGTACTTGAGATCTAGGTTGCTTTCATCAGAAGTGTATGATTCCTGGACAGCTAATATATCTATACTACTTTCATAACAGTACTTGTCTAGTGCAAAGCGACTTCCGTCCGACATCCCACAAATATTGATAGAACATAGATTATAACCAAGCTTAGTAGATAGTGTGGGTCCACTGAGTTGAGGTGTAACCTTAGAATGCATATTGTGTTCGTTGTTTGATTTCATCCAGTTTCTGTTTCATCACTTCACAGGATTTGTCCCCAGTAATATGCCCATCCTTTTTGCAGTGAACACATTTCTTTGATAAGCTTACACATGCATTGCTTTCATGTCCTTTTTCGCCACACTTTCCACATTGGCTAGTTTCACTGCGGCAGCGCCTTGCAATGTGTCCAAAGACTTGGCATCTATTGCATTTGATTACTCTTGGAACAGGCTTAAACTCCTCAATCATGAATCGTTGTTCAATGATCTTAATCCTACTAGAAATACTTTCCAAGAGGTCTTTTCTAGTATTGAATGTCACCTTCATAGTCCCACTAAACGTGCCATTTCTCTTGAAGAAGTCTACATCGGATACAGCATTATATTTATCCATGATTGATTTTTTTATATCCTCTTCTGATGCATCAAGATAAACATGTTTCACAATTCCGCTTGTGTTCAAGGAATCAGGAGACACGACCCCTTCGTTACCACCAAATAGCTCTCTCTTCCAATTATCTGACACCGTTTTAGTTTCCTCTGATTATCAAGTTCGATCTTGAAGGAACCCCCAGCAGTTACCCTGCAGTTCCTGATAATAACACCTGGATATTCCTTGTTGAATGCCTTCCTTATACCTTTACTGTCTCTGATGTCAGCATTCATGGGCTTCCGTACCAGTAGAGTTCTTTTGTTCCTTTCTTCTGTTTCCTCAACTTTCACAGCTTTGTTTTGTGTAGAGAGCTGTTTAACAAGTTGGTTTGTAGCCTTGTTAATATGCGACTTATTACCAGTAAGAGCAGAGGAATAGCTTTTTAAATCACCGATTTTGTCGATTTTGTCTGAGTGTTCTTCCACTTTGGTTGTCATACTTGTGACTTTTCGGTGAATACGCCTAAGCTGTGTAGCAACATCATTCATGGCATGGTTACAATTGGGACAAAATGTTTTGATATAGCTAGGGGAATCTTTGAGTTCATCATAAAGCTTAGCACTTATAGGGTGATCGTTGCAACTGTTATGAAAAAAGTTTTCACAGCCACTACAATGCAATCCAAACCCAGTATCATTGCGGTCATCTGTAACTTCACCTGCGCATACAACACATGGGTATCGTAAAGTTTTTTTACCATCTGCATTGGGGAAAATACCACTAACCGCATCATCATCAGTTTCAAAGTCAATAAAGTTCCCATTTCTGTCAAACTTTCCCAATATTGCACCATTCTCATAACCTGACAGATGTCTGCCAAAGATAGCGCTGCAACGAAGGAGCTCGAGCCGTCCATCTTCGTCGTAGGCACTTGGTGCTTTCAGGTGCAGTTTCTTTAGTATCAGGTTAATCTGAGGGATAGATAAATCAGATAAAGGTGTTGAGCTCATGATAGCTCAAAGCGAAGACTGGAACACGTCTGGAACAGGTTTGTTTCTATCAAAAAATCAAACTTAATCACCAACCGGAAAGGTTCAGAACTTGTGGGTCTGACTCCCTTAATAGATTTGTGAAGAGGGGAAGGAGAAGCAGGACTTCTCGGGTCTGGAGAGGAGAAGCAGGACTTCTCGGGTCTGTGCTATTTCACTTGTCACTTGTCGTCAGTTATCGTTCAACATTACACATACCTCAAATTATTTGTTATATAGTAGTGTTGAAAGTATTAAAACATTATTCATTAAGAATGGACACCATTTTTTACAGTGTTGAATTGATCTCAGGATTACTGATTACATATATTACATTGTCAGGACTTTTAAAAAGACTTAGACTATTTAAATATTCCGATTTAGACATTTCCAGTTCAATTATTGGAATGACTATAAACTTCGAAATTGTTTTATAATCAAAGGGCCCCTGACAGTTGAAACTATAGCCAAGTGTACTTAAATCAATTTATTTTTGAACGCTGATTCAGAATCAGCGTTCAAAAATAAATTGATTCAAGTACAGTTGGCTATATAGTAGTTTCAACTTTTCCACACTAGCATCCTACCGTCTTACTATATACTGTTATGCACTATAAACTTTTATGCACTAAGTCCTAGTTAGGTATCAGCACTACAATATATACCGGCCTACCATCTCCACACTCGTATTTTTGATCAAATTATTTGAGGCACTACTTAAAGGGTGTTAATTTAGTTTTCTATTGAATTTATATTGAATTTTTATATAGGGTTATTGTTATATTATGTGTATATTGTTTGAATAATTTTTATAATAATAGTAATAATTATTTGAGGCACAGTATATAACACTATAACTATAATTGGAAATTCTGTTGGGCAAAAAGTGTATTCACTATAAAACTTGTCATATTGTTGGTGTGGCGCGGCGTCCGCAGTGGCGTAACGTTGCCTGTTGGCGCCCCCCGCCGAAAAGGCGCCCCCCTGTTGGCGCCCCCTCCCCTTTTGGTGCCCCTCCCTAAAATTGAACAAATTAGGTGATTTTAGAGGATACGCCAGTAAAATCTCTAAAAAAGTGTGTATCTAGAGCTAAACGCGCAGTTTTGCTAGTACTTTAGTTAAGTTTTCGAAATTGTCCCACATTCAAACGACGATTTGGCGCCCCCCTAAGACGGCGCCCCCCTGCACAGCGGGGTCAGCGGCGGGGCCCTTTGTTACGCCACTGGGCGTCCGCAATATTATCCAGTCGCCCTTGAAAATCGACTACAGAAAAAAGAAGGCTGTCAAATAAGTTACGAAGCAGGAGATCAAAAATGGCGGGACACTGCATCAGACATCCTGAGCTACTTGCCATTTAGTGTTATGGGAACCTGTGCATGGTAGAGCACAGCAAGGCCGACCAAGACAAAGCTACTTGTCTAATGTCTATGTTACTGAAGGAAGTTAGGACAAACTTTAAGGAGAAACTGCGAACCCTGATGCGGGACAGGGATAAATGGAGGGGGTTATCTAGCGTAGATCGAACTTAGTTCCGACATAGTAGTATTAGTGGTAGTTGTGATTCAGAATCATTCCACATGACATCTAGGGTTAAAATGCTCCTCTGGTGAGATATCGGCGAAAAGCTGTCTCGCTCACGTAATATGACCATACACCATATACAAAGAAGTTGGTATAATTTCTCCCTTGGGTTACGGTTTTTATTTAGCATTATATGCTTCAGTTTAGTTAGTATAGGGATTAAATTAGGATTATATTAGGGTTTGCATCATGCCTCAAGAGCAGATTGAAATATTATTTTTCTTAACGGATGACAATTGTAAAATTTTTGTTCCAAATATCCAAAACCGTGGACGAGTCTGCGTAGGTTATAAACCTACAATTACAAGTTATAAACCTAAAATATTTTTTCATGTTCCAAAGTTTTGATTTTTTTCAAAGGGATTTTTCATATTTTATAACTTTATTTTGATACGATTTTGAAATATATTTGGTATGCTCTTGACATAGTTGATGTGACGAAAAGATATATCTTAACAACTCCTACAAATTCCAAGCCTTCTGATACCCCTTCACTACATCGACATTATGCACTGTACATATTATACTATTGCACTATACACTACACTTGTGGTTGTGTACACATTTGCGACCTATCCCCATTTCGTATAAGAAGATCATCCATCCCTATATGGATTATGAATGGCTATTATAATCCTAAATGCAAGTTCACAATATATCTCACAATTTTCGGTAAATTTTACACTCAAATAAAAATCGTGTGGAAATTCCCTGTGGAAATTCTAGATATCTATTGAAATGATTAATGATCCCAGTACATGGTACAGGGGGGACTCCCGACCCACCGCTTCGGTGGGTAGTCGATGTCCCTTTCACAAGCAAGAGCCACTTTGGAATACTTGCTGGTTGGTGTCTCAGCTACCTGGGGTCCTCTTTTTTTTTTCTTTAATTCCCAAGTGGAGAAAGAAATGATTTCTAAAAGTCTGTAAATGAGTTAGGAAAAGGTCATTCAAACAATATGTACATTCAATTAAAAAGTCTGTAAATGGTAAATGATAGTTATTTTTGAAATGTTTCGAATGGAGTTTTATAAAAAATTTAGGAAACCTATTATGTTATTAATTAAGAAAAGCATAATGAATATCTTAGGTTTAATATATATATTATATTCCCCATGTTGCTAAGAAAGGTTTTATTGACTTATTTAGTAGATTTAGCAAGTTTTCAATGTTTTGTTTTCAATCTTTCTAGAAAGCACATAATCTGGTTATATGAACGAGGAATAATTCAGATATCACCTAGGAGGGAGACTGGGAGAGGGTTTAGAATTTAAGCTATTATTTCTTCGCTGTAAATTATTTCTGGCTGTGGAGAGGGAGCTGGAGGGGTCTAAAATGGGCAAATGTGGAGAAACCATGTAACTGTATTTACTGTATTAATTTTCTTTCCCTAACTGTACGGAAAATTAGGGTTTAATTGTATCTGATTCATAAATTTGCAGCACTAATGAATATTAAATTACATTCATGTTATATTTGCTAAGTGGCTTATTCTTACATATAATGTGTATTTAGCAAAGTGATGGACGTTCATTAAAAAACCTAAAGAGGCTACAAGATAAAGCTTGAATTCTTCACGACTCTGCGTGCAAGATATGATAGTATGGTAACAGTCATTCCTGATGTAAAGGTAATTATATTTATAAATATTGCATTTTTCTTATCACAATTAGTTTTAAGCAAATTGTTCCACTTAAAAGTGGCATTTGGACAGAATCAGTGGTATAACATAACCATTTCTTCTGTCTTCTGTGGGCTATGCACCTAGACATCTTATTAATGGGACCAAGTTGCTCACTGCATTTCGTCGCCACATGTAATCCTGTTTGAATAAAAAATATATATCCCTGGGACCCTGGTCTTAAAGTTTAGACTTAAAATATCTAGAAAATTACCCATCTTATAGAAATTATGTATGAAAATTGCTATATACATTGTATTGTTGTAAAATTCTGTATTGTGTAAACTTGGTCCTGTGACTGTTAATTGATGATAATTTGTCACATTTGCCAGCTGGACGTGTAATACTATTTCTACATCAGGTTAAAGTGAACGAGTTCATAATCCAGTGGTTATCTCAAGACAAGGTATTCGACCAGCTCAGCGATGACCTGAGCTGCATCCTTAATGGCAAAGTCCCTGATGTGGTGCCAACTAAACTCATAAATAACAGATCTCTTTCACCGCCCCATCACAAACACCCTGCGTCACCAAGAAGTTAGTAATGTGATAAATTTAAGTTTTATGAATTCATTGAAATGTTGTACTTAAAAAGGTGTTTTTGTAATCTGGGGTGCACTATGTTTCGAGGGGCAAATTTACTTACAGTCCAAAGCACGAAGTATGCTCTTGGAGATAAATAACAATATACCGAGTCATAAAAAAGCTATAAATCTGTTAAGTTTATAATCTTACTAAATCAACGTGATAAGTTATTGATGATGCTGTGAATATATCAATGTAATGAGAGTGAGTTTAACCCTGTATGCGTTATTATATTATGTTTGATCGAATAATAAAATAAATAAGAACACGTTGTCTAGCCTAATAGCACATTACTGTACTACTCCTACCCCTAGAGATACTACGAAATAGTCTTCCTCCAGGGCTAATATAATAAAACTAATCGAGTAGTTTTATTATATTGATATGCTTGTGGAATGTGGGTTAAAGATGAGTAGTGGATTGAGTTTCTTGTTGTTCAGGTCTGGTCACAGTTTAACGATCCCACAGTGTATATCAGTTGACGATATGTCAATGTGGGTGTCCATATACAGTGTGTGCCGATGACAGTGCGATGACAGAGTCTATTTACAGTGTAACTATTTCAAATATTCTGAAATAACAGTTTTTAAAATTTAAATGTTAGGTTTGAGTAATTAATTCTAGTAAGCCAAATTTTTGGACTTTTCCCAGCTCCCATGAAAAGCTAAGAGTTAAATTGACAGGACTTTTATCTCTTGTATGTGGACAGCCAGCCATTTCAGTGTTCAATTTTACATCTGACAGTTGATCTTGTAAAAGAAAAAGCTAATATTACAGACAGTAATTCTTATTTCTTGTTGGTTGTTTTAAAATTGTTAGTTTGGTACGACTTGTGTTTAGAGGTCCGATTATTACAAGATTAGTGAAATATTAACTCTTTCTCCTTTAGATATTAGTTCATAGTAGTAGTAGTAAATCTTACAAAGTACGAAATATCTCTTTAAAAGAGCATCCTAGGCACCTTATAGATATCAAAACGCATAAAAAAGAAAACAAAAACATCAACCATCTTCCAACTTCTTCCATTCCTCCCTATCTAAAGCCAAAAATCTAAGGTCTTCGAAATCAGTCAAATTCTTAAGTCTAATATCAAGATTTCTACTAGTCAAGTCTTTTCTAATAACATCTAATAAGTTTAAACATGGTCTACCCCGTCTCCCTTCCATAAAAATATCAGAATTTATAGCAAATAACATAGAGGTGTATGCTGGTGAGTCTTCCTGTCCTCTTAAGATATGTCCTAACATTCTCCATCGAAACTTAGAGACTCTCACAGACAAGGGAGTGACATAACAACGAGCATAGAGTGCCTCATTAGAAATAACCCCAGTAGGCCATCTGATGTTGAGGATTCTTCGGAGGTGTTTGCGATGAGCAATATCAAGTTCATTCAACGAAGCTAGTGGTGCAGCCCAGGAGTTGCAGTTGTAGAGTAGAATAGAGACTACTTGTGCCTCGTAGATTTTGATCTTCCTTTGGACTGAAATCTTGCTCTTCATCCAAACTTTCTGAAATTTACTAAAGGCAACATTACCAAGGAATATTCGATTCTTGATATCCTTAACAGTGCACATCAACGATCCTAAAGTTTTGTTAGAGCGCCACTCTTCATCACCTCTATACACTTTTCCAACAATCACCTTGCGTTTAACAGTGGGTTTAGGATCTGCTAAATAAAAATGGACAAATTCAGTCTTGGAAGAATTGATATGAAGGTCCCACTGCTGGAATATATCTTTAGCGATAGGAAGCATTTCTTTGAGTGGAGCAAGTTCAGTGTTATTAAAGTCAATATCTTTAGCGATAGGAAGCATTTCTTTGAGTGGAGCAAGTTCAGTGTTATTAAAGTCAATATCATCAGAGTATCCTGTTTCGAGTGGCATGAATTCTTCTGAGATAGGAGGATTAGGGATTGGATGATTCACTGGGTAAGGTGTTGATGATACTTGGGAGAGTACGGATCTGAGGTGAATAAGTGCAGCGGCTTCAACAACAGTAAATAGATTACCTGATAGTGCATCTCCTTGAAATGCTCCAGTTGTGCTTTGGAACTCAATTGATACAGTATTATTGACTTTTACTTTCAACACTGTGTTTGATAGTAGGAGCCGTACCATCCTAATTTCATCACTAGTACAGCCAGCATCTTCAAGAACATTGAGTACTGTTTCTCTGCTGATGGTGTCAAAGGCACTTGACATGTCTATACTCATTCTGTGGTAGCTCCAATGCTTTCTAAGTACCACTGAGGTTAGCATACGTTGAGACCAAATTATATCGCCACAACTTCTACCTCTCTTGTAAGCACTTTGTGTAGGACCGGTGTACTGATCTAGCTTGCCTTGGATACGTTTTAGGGTAATCATTGACAGTAATTTTCTGGAGCAGTTTGAGAGGGTGAGAGGTCTGATGTTAGTTCATATAAATTAAAATTTAGAGGAGAAAAAGCTAATGTTACAATAACTATCATCTTAATTAGAATCGTCTGAAATGAATATCTAAACAATGAGAAGGGGTGACCTAATGTGTGCTTATGGCTTCTTGGATTCTTGGCCCAAAATGCGCTGTAAAAGCGAGAAGTCTCGCCCACCAGGCTCCAGAGTAACAAACATGGGTAATATGTAGTGCAAAATGTATGTTTTGACACGTGACAGCCTGTTTTGACACGTGACAGTAACACGTGATAGTCTGTTTTGACACGTGACAGTGATTTTGGGATTTGGCCGCTTGACACTGTCACGAGTCAAAACAAGCCTGCGCCATCTCGGCATCTCCCGCCATATTTACCCAACGTCTATACTACTCAACCCTGATATTGTATTTGCAAACTGCAATGTACAAACTGCAAGCCATAGTAAATACTCTTATTAGTCTCCTGATATTAAAACCCAGCTATTTCAGGCAGTCCCCGAGTACCCGGCTCTCCTAACCGGGGATCAGCCGCCAGAACTAAATCTAACCGCACACCCTCCCCTGCTCATGAGATCAAGAAATCATCTCCCTCAATCAGCAACAAGCTCAAAAGACCTCAAGAAATAATCCCACAGTTCTACTTCCCCATGGGAAAACCCTCTACTCCACCTCAAAGGGTTGACGATTCTCGGCTGTCTAAAATAAAAGATTTGTTTGAAGAGTGTAAAGACGGTCTAATGGCGCCGAGAGACTTTGGCAGTGTGACAAAAGCCGCTGAATTACCGCTCTATTGGAAGTGCCCGCTGTTCGAGGCCTGCTCAAGTTCTGATACTTGCTCTTACCAACAGTTTCTGCAGGTTTGTCATTAAAATACATACGATCGCTGTAATGATGATCGTTGTAAAAATGAAATGCCAGCTTTTTCTGCTCTAAATGATATTTAGAGGATAATGTTTCACGTTTACAGCTCTATAAAAGGATGGCGTACCGAGCAAAATGATTGCAGTAAATCTCTTAACATGTTTTAGATTGAATAATCGACTAAAATGGGATAATAACCCTTGAATCCACAAATACCACAGTTCTAAGAGTGCTGACCACTAGTAATTAACAATATATTACATGAACAGCACTGTCTCTTACAGGTGTACGAATACCTGGAGTCCTATTGTCATGACGAGGCCTCTAAGTTCCTGCGGGTACTGACCAAGGGAACCAGATCCCACATTATATGGGAGGATTTTAACAACTTGATACAAGACGTTATAGACACCCATCCTGGCATGTCATTCCTGGATGATGCCCCAGAATTCCATGCTAGGTTAGATTTCAAGTTTATCCTTCAGATTGATATCGGTAAAGTTAAGGACTAGACTGTTCACACAATATAATACATAATACGTAATCATTTCTTGGAATTTATAGACCTCTCAAGGCTCCTCCATCCGTAGTCACTTTAGTAGTATAGCTATCTCGTAGAAATTACATTAGCGTAATTATTTGGAAACCCCGCCCCTATGCGTAAGTGATCACGTGATATAGATATGTGAACACCCCCTGAATAAACTTGACAAAGTGACAACTGTCAAGTGATATCCGATTAACAATTACTGTTAAAACATTGTTACACTGATATCATCCCATCAACGTTTAACAATTGTGTACCAATCTCAGGTACATAGAGACGGTAACAGGTCGCATAATGTACACAGTTAACCGGTCCTGGAGCTCCAAGATAACAATTACTGAACTCAGGGAATCCAACTTTCTTAAAGTTCTCGCTTCTCTTGAGGACGAGCCTGATATTAATCAGGTTAATAAGAATGTCACGCCAATTCTCATAATGTGACCTTTATCTCTGAAATTAAGTTATATACCAAGCTTTTGTCATTAATTACTGGATAAGAGTGGCTGCTGTAAGATTGAAGACTCCATCACAGTCTAATTTGATTATAATGCTAATTGCAATATATTTTAATTGGTACTGCCTTGACTCTTGAATACATCTCATTAAACTAAAGTTCATATTATACGATTCTAAGATAGGCATTAAAGCTTTAAAGCCAGTAAGTTTAAACTTATAATCGGATCCCTTGCTCTAGTATACCGCGCCGTATAATAACAAATACAATTGTAACTGTACCAGACATTGTAACTGTACCAGACATTGTAACTGTACCAGACATTGTAACTGTACCAGACATTGTAACTGTACCAGACATTGTAACTGTACCAGACATTGTAACTGTACCAGACATTGTAACTGTACCAGACATTGTAACTGTACCAGACATTGTAACTGTACCAGACATTGTAACTGTACCAGACATTTTAACTGTACCAGACATTGTAACTGTACCAGACTTTGTAACTGTACCAGACATTGTAACTGTACCAGACATTGTAACTGTACCAGACATTGTAACTGTACCAGACATTGTAACTGTACCAGACATTGTAACTGTATCAGACATTGTAACTGTACCAGACATTGTAATTATACCAGACATCAAAACAGTAAGTCTGGTTCCTAAATCCCAATATCCCCAACCCCAGGTTTCAGACTACTTCTCCTACGAGCACTTCTACGTTATCTACTGTAAGTTCTGGGAGATAGACACAGACCACGACCTCATAGTCAGCCTGGATGACGTTATGAGACACGCTGACGGTACTGTTAATCCCCGGGCTTTGGAACGGCTCTTTGAGGGAACGGTAAGTTTATTTTTTATCTTGGTACTCTTTTTACTTCCATTAATCAGTTTTAACGCCAAATGATGACGAAATAGCTCACCAAATGTATGGCCGTAGAGTACACACTTAAGGTCAGTCCACTACTCCACTAGTCGGATATTTCACATAGCAGCTAGTAATTCGAAACCATTAACATTTTCCTCATCGCAACCTGTAAAGTTGTAATGGTTCCACTTGAAAACTTTGCCGATGACAAAATTCTATATTTAGCATAAACTAATTCGATCATGTGCTAATTTATAATATCCTGAGAAAAGTTAACAATTCCACCCTCGCCCGACAGGTGACGTACAATAAAACTGAGACCTTGACCTACTTTGATTTTATCCGGTTTCTACTCGCGGAGGAGGACAAGTCCCACCCAACAGCCATAGAATACTGGTTCAGAATAATGGATCTGGACGGGGATGGCTTTATTTCGCTCTTCGAGCTAGAATACTTTTATCAGGTACAGTTGATTATGCATTATTATTTATACTCGAAATATTTGATAATGTATTAGTTATGAATTTTATTATTCGATGGAACGCAGACACCAAATTACAGTGAGACCTTAGCAGGTGTTAAATCACTTGATATTCTATAGATGTTTCTAATATACCCTGATCTCGCTCCAGGCACAGTTAGAGAAAATGCGGCTGTTAGGAGTGGAGGAGTGCTCAGTGTTAGACTGTATTTGTCAAGCTTTAGATCTTGTCCGGCCTAAAGAGGAGACTAAAATCACCCTGACTGACATCAAGAAGTGCAAGCAACCCTCACTGTTCTTTAATATCTTCCTCAACATACAGAAGTTCCTAGATCACGAACTGAAAGATCCGTTTAGCAACAAGGTAATCTTTATTAGAGCTTTTTATCTAGAAGTGAAACACATTCTGCACATTATGGAGCTAGGATGTGGAGTGTGAACTACACCTGGTTAAAACCTTTCCATTACATACTACTCAATAAATGTAATAGATCTGTAGTGTTGTTATTAGTTTCAAACGTAGTTTTCATTTTCTATTAGTTTCAAATCGTTGAACTCTAGATGCCTATATTTCAAGACATTTCGTATTATGTAACCCAATTTAATATCACCCAACCTAAGTTTGAAGGGTGATAACCGAACCGTTTAAAATGTCTAGAAGTGTATTGTCTATTTCCATGGTTACGAGATCTGGCCAAGACAGCACTACTTTGTTGTCTATCAGTACTATGTAGATGACTAGACAGGGTCATTGTGACCAACTCACAGAGCGGTAATACAGGGTGGCCCAGAAGTAACTACCCACACACAACCTTTTATAACTCATGTAATTCGTGTCAGAATTGCTCGAAAATTTCAGAGAATATAAATATGGGTCTAACTTAGATTGAGTGATGAGATCATTGATTAAGTGCTGGATCACGTATCCGCCAGATCTTAAAATAGTCATAACTCTGCTTCAATTTGCAAACAATCAATTCGATTTTTTGGGAAAGCACTTCAATTATCAAACCAAATGTATCTAAAAACTTTGAAGTTCCTAGCACAAAGCGTTCTCACTTTATGGCGACAATAGAGAAAAAGAGCGATTTGCGTGCCACACTCTCTGTAATTGATGAAATTTTACGAAACGTTCAGGAAGTCTAAGTTTGACCCATATTTATGTTATCTGAAATTATCGAGCTATTCCGACTAGGATTACGTAAGTTATGAAATGGTTACGTATGGGTAGTTATTACTTCTTGGCCACCCTGTACATAAATTCCCTTTGGATAACATAACGTTAGCTCAAATCGTTTGTTATATGGGGGTATACAGTACTAAATAATTATAGTAGCGTAGAAAATATTTAACGTTTAAATATTTAATATTTAATATTTAAACTACGTAACTGTGAATATTTTAAACTACGTAACTGTATATTTTAATTTTGCAGGATGGAGAGGTACCGCTGACGGACTGGGAGAAGTTTGCAGCTCGCGAGTACGAGGATCTAATTGCGGATGAGGAGCTCAACAAACAGTACGAGTATGAGGATGACTTTGAGGATGAAGATGAGGAGATCCCAATGATGGGAAACGTGGTAGCGAAATCAGCTGTAGAGACTTACGGTAAATGACTGGTAAATGACTGATAAATGACTGGGTAGTAAACTATTAAATGACTGGCTAGATAATATAGAAGAGGAAGTTATGAGTAGAAGAAAACTATCCGTATGCAGTTTGACATTGGCATGATTTTAAGTTACATTTGTTTCGCAATATTACATTTTTATTGAGCCCACCACCATCTGCTAGCCCATAATTGTAATGCATTCAGCCGACCAGAAATACAGAATATTATAAATAGATCTGTGTACCGGTAGGGAGGTGAACTATAATTATTTCCTGACACGAGACAGCATCTAACCAATCAGCTTCCAGCGTTGACCAATCGCAGCCCAGAATCACTGTCACGTGTCAAATAAACATGGTTCGCCTCCCCTCCTACACCAGTATTCGAATCTATACAATTCTTGATATTTATTTAGTCATAGGTAATCAGGATTAAATTTATTTGCTAAATTTATACAGTTTTAATGAGCAATTAAACGTATAATTTGTTGACAAGATGCTCGCCAGATTGTCCGCTAGGCTTGCCACTGAAGGACTAAAAAATAGCTAAGTTTTTGATTTCTAAATTATCATTCTGCGTCTCTAACCTCACGATGTAAAGTTATGGATGTAAATATTTGCCATTCATTGATGCGGTTGTGATCAAAAGATGCACTCATAAGACCACCAACTGCTTTCTCTAAACAACCGCTAAACAATCTAGTTTTTATCTAAACACAGTAAAATAAAGCATGTTATGTTCGTTCATTCGCTCGGTTCAACACGTAGATATTTCTTAGTTATGATACCTATTAACTTTAATGTTTACGAAGTGTTTTCTATTTTCTAGGTCGTGTTCCTTTTTACAAGTTTTTACAATTAATTGTAAACATTAATTATTGTTTAGCTTATGAGCTAAGCTCAAAGGGATGGTTTTATATTTATATGCAAGTTGAATGATATAGTACTGTGCTATTTGCTTATTTGATATTTTAGTTGCATTGAATTTAAAAGTTTATTCATTAGACGTTAGTACGACTTCCATAACCAACAGTAATTCATAAATCATATATATATAATACGGGTAATGAGTTTACTGCATATTAAGCAAAAGCAAAATATTGACACAACTTGACTCAACTTATTTTGGAAAGTAATTATATTACGACATTTGAAATTGCAAACTGTAATAAAGCAGATATAGTTTACATCTGAGTGGCAATCGTACTTTAGCAGGTCCAAGAGCAAGTGATTGGATGACGCAAAAACATTTGATCATACAAAGTCTAATGATCATGCACTCACTGCTATTAATTCGCGCACGCGCACGTACGGACATAAACAGGATTAAACGGAATATTAACCATTAACGGTGCGTCAGTTATTATGTATTATAGTGATACGTACTACTTCACAGGTTACCTGGGGACCCCCAGGCTATTATGTTCATAAATAAATAAAGATTCGGCGGAATGACAGGCTGAGCGCCGCCCAGTAACTTTACAGGAGGACGAAAGTGCAAAGAAACTGCAACTAATTGCTGCTAACTGCTACTAATTTCAAATTTTACAGGCACGTCACACCGGAATGACGGGCATATCTACACACGGCCTTCATGACTAATTCAATTTCACGAATACTGTAGGATTCGGGTGACAAAGTTTTGTAGGTTTATAACCTAACAGGACGCGCGCCGAGTTGGACTCGTCGATAATAACATATGGAACAAATATTTTACGAGTATCACCCGTTAAACAAAGTTGTATAGTCAAAAGTGTAATACAAATTAACGGGTGATATTCGTACAAAATATTTGTTCCATATAGTAGGACCATTGCGACGAGTCCAACTCGGCGTGCGTACCGTCCTCCTAGGTTATAAACCTAAAAATTGAACACAGATCCGTATTTAGCCGATTTCGTTGGAGGACTTCGACGCGCTGCGCAAACTAGCATTCTTGCTTCGCATCGTCGCGATCGTTGCTCTGCTCCACAAAGCAACGATTTTAATGTATTGACATCGTCAACCAACCGATTTCGCAGATTTAAGTTACGCAAAACTTGATTGACGATGTCAACCCATCCAGATCGGTGCCCTGCGAATTCACTCAGTTACAGACCAAACCAGTTCATCACTCACTCACCAAATTGCCGACCCAATATCTATTGAAGTGGCGAAGATTTTCTAGACAAATGACATAGTATCGATATTATTGCTGCAGCAGATACAAATTCCAACATTATTATATTCCCAACCGTTTGAACCATTAATACACTTGATTTTTCTATAAGTCTCCGAAATATTCTGTAAAACCCTCTGGTGTCGAGATTACTCCATCAGATCCCAAATTCGGATCCACTACTGTTAAGGAGACCCGCATCCAGTAGGGACTGTCAGCGGTAAGCTACAGCTCCTGCTGGTAATCGACTCGGAAAACAGTGGTGGTCCCCGTTTTTGGGTTGGAAATGATGAAAACCAGATCTAAATCTAACAATGTAGTAGACTGTATTCAGTTGGTTCCTTTTGGTGGCACACTGGTACCAGAAATTGACATCAGAAGTGGATCAAGCTCGGACAGTACATTAGACATTCTGCTTCAGCCTGATAATCTAAGGGAAGTTACATCTGACAGCCAGACCTCAACTGACATCTCGGAGAGACCAATGATACCTGCCCTGTTTGTTCCTCTCTGTGTACTGACCTTGATGCGGCAGTTTGCTGCAATAGTTGCGAAAGATGGTTCCACTGTACTTGTATTAACATGAGTAGCCTAATCTATGAACAGCTTATAAACACTTCCATTTGTTGGTTCTGTAACGAGTGTGTTGATATACAATCAACTTCTGAAAATAGTACTCAGTTAACTCAGTTCCTTCTGGAACTAGGAGACCCTGATGTTACAGGAACCCAAAGAGAAGACGACCTACTCACGGCAGCGATTAAAGAGATAAGGAGTGAAGTTGATGAGCAAGAAGTAATGGTTGAGGCTCCGGCTATTCAGTGCTCACTTCCTGACTACGAGAGTTCACAGATCTCCCCCCTCCTTTTGTTAGGTCCATGGAAAGGTGAAGAAGTGAAGATTAAGTGTGAGGAAATTTACGATGAGATTGTTCAATGGAAGAGAAATCTATTTATTCTCCCCTCAGGGGCGATTGGCAAGGTGTTCATAGAGGAGATGACCAAGGTTGTTAAAAACTTTGGATCAGGCAGTGCTATGGAGAGAATTTGTTTGACACTCTTAATGATAATGCCAGCCTTGCTGCTTCAGAAGCCAACCAAGAAATCAAAGACTGCAGACCACAGCAAAGCCTTGAAACGAAGAATGGAACTATGGCAAGAGGGAAAGTTGACTGAACTCCTGAGAGAAGGTAGAGAAATCCAGAGGAGGATTGGAGGAAGGAAGTACGAGAAGGGACAGATTGAAAAGGTGTTCACTCGACTGATGATGGAGGGAAAAGTATCTGCGGCAATGCGCTGGATAGGAGAGAGAGCAACATGTGCGCTTAACCCCACAGCAGAAGTTATTAAAGTCCTCAAGGAGAAACATCCGAAAGCCACCCCAGCCCCAGAAGGCAGTTGCCTTAATGGCCCATTTAGACATGTGGAACCGGTCATTTTTGATAGCATAGACGGAGACAGGATCAGGCATGTAGCCAAGCAAGTTCAGGGTGCTGGAGGGCCTTCAGGCTTGGATTCTGACGGGTGGAAACGGATTCTGTGTTCAAAGCAGTTCGGGAAAAAGTCAGATGCTCTTTGTAGCGATATTGCAAACATGGTGAGAGTCCTTTGTGTCAGATATGTTGACCCTGATTTACTGAAATCCTTCACTGCTTGTAGGCTGGTGCCTCTGGATAAGAAGCCCGGGGTGCGCCCTATAGGGATTGGTGAGGTTATCAGAAGAATTGTTGGCAAATCAGTTATGATGACATTGCAAGAAGATTTTGCTACCTCAACAGCACCTATTCAGGTTTGTGCGGGCCTTCAAGGAGGAGTGGAGGCTGCAGTCCATGCAGCCAGAGAGCTCTTTGAAACCCCTGATACAGAAGCAATGATCTTTGTTGATGCTGAGAATGCTTTCAATTTGTTGAACAGAGAAGCAGCACTTAATAACATGTATGTGGTTTGCCCAGAGGCTGCAACATATCTGATGAACATCTACAGATCCCCTGCGGAGTTATTTATATCTGGCGGAGAGGAGATGATCTTAAGTGAATCTGGCACTACTCAAGGAGATCCACCTGCCATGGGTTTCTATGCTTGTGCAACTATGCCCTTAATCTACTCTACACACAACATAGAAGGCACCAAACAGATTTGGTATGCTGATGACTCAGCTGCAGGAGGAAAGTTAGTTGGGCTGCAAAAATGGTGGAAAACTTTGTGTCGCAATGGACCAGGGTTTGGATACCAGCCAAAACCTGCCAAGACATGGATAGTGGTGAAGCCTGATTTTGAACAAGCTGCAAAAGAGATGTTTCCTGATGTCAACATCACAACGGTTGGGAAAGGGTATTTAGGCAGTTTTATTGGGTCAATAGAAGGGCATCACAGCTTTATAGACCAGAAAGTGGAGGAATGGTGTCGTGACGTGAAGCAATTAGCAGGAATTGCATCAAGAGAGCTTAAGTTGCATACTCTGCATTTGTATATGGACTTTCGAAAAGATGGAACTATGTGTGTAGGACTACACCTGAGATAGCAGATAGACTTCAACCACTCGAACTTACCATCAGAGAGGAGTTCATTCCAGCAATCCTTGATAGAGCATTTAGTTGCACTGACACTCTTAGAGAGATCTTTTCTCTACCACCAAGGTATGGAGGGCTGGGTATCCCTATAATAACAGAACTGGCCAACTCAGAGTTCCTGTATTCAGTCAAAGCTACAGTTTTGCTAAAAACGGCTATACTAAGCCAAGAGGTAAACTATCTTGAAGACAAGGATAAAAGCCATGAAATCAAGACATCCATCAGTAAAGATCGCAATGAGTATTACACCAGAAGACAGGAGGCAATTCAGGAGTCTCTGCCACAAACATCTAAACTTATGTTACAGCTAGCAGCAGAGAAGGGTGCAAGTTCCTGGCTAACCACCTTACCACTCAAAAGCTATGGTTATCTCCTGAATAAGCAACAGTTTTCAGATGCTATATAGCTTTAAGATATAACCTGAAGCTGAAAGATTGTCCAAAACTTTGTACTTGTGGTGATTCCTACTCCGCAAACCATGCCCTCACGTGTAAACTTGGGGGTTATGTGACCTTGAGGCATAACTCACTTCGAGATACAATAGCTAATATCATGCGGACAGTCAAATGCAAAGACGTTCAGACAGAGCCCCCTCTTCTTCCAGTCAGCGGCATGCAGTTACCACGAGGTACAGTAACTGGAGATCAAGCCCGACTAGATATATCAGCAAGATCAGTTTGGAATGCGTTGGAAAGAGCATTTTTTGATGTAAGAGTGTTTCACGCTCCTGCTCCAACCAACGCCGCTAAACCAATTCCTATGATGTATTTGGCTCACGAGACTGAGAAGAAAAGAGCATATAATGCAAGGGTCCTAGAAGTGGAAAAAGCTACCTTTACACCTTTAGTTTTCTCCACAACAGGAGGCATGGGAGTCGAAGCGCAACGCTTGATTAAAAAGCTTGCACAAAAGATGGAATCTCCAACGGGTCAGCGTTATTCAGACTCAGTTACATATCTTAGAAAGCGCTTGCGCTTTGAGGTATTAAAGACAACGGTTATTTCGATAAGGGGGGACAGAGGGCCCAAGTTGCGATATAAACCAGACAATATTGAAGATTTAGATTTAAATATTGAGCCCTTTGGCTAGAGAATACTTTCTTGAATATTTTCGATAGTTTTTAATATTGGTAATATTAATGAATTGTAATTGATTGATATGTAATATTTAGGCCCGTGGCCAGTTTTCACCGTTTGAACCATTACATTAACGAGGAAATTCAATCCTCAACTTAACTTTTACTGTTTTTAACTGATAT